AAGATAGGTTGATAATTAATGTGACCACATAGCCTACATTCTGTATATTGACTGATCGCTTGCCTTTATTTCCTATAATGTTTAAACTTATTGTATGTTATACTTTTATAATGGCCATTATCGATTATTAAAACTGATATTCAGCAAAAGAAAGGGTATGTTTCGTATTTTCAATGAAAATGAAAGGAGTCAGTTGTTATTGGCTCTGTCTTGTTATAAATATCCAGACAGTGAAGATGATGCTCATAAATGCAGCACAACGCCTCAACATTTCTGCTGTCTGTTAAGTTGCTTATATCAATATGAAAATAGGCAGTTCCTTAAATCATGTTTTCATTTTATTGTTGAGAAAGTAAAACAACGTAGCCAGGGTGATATGAATGTCATTTTCGCATGGCACATAATAATGAAATGACCTGAATGCCAGTGGTGTTCATGAACTGAATCGTGGTGTTTTATACAATTTATGTTTGTAGCTGCATGTTTTTTTTATTTTTTTATTTTTTAATGGTTGACCCATAACATTATATGGCACATAATAGTTATAGACCGTTTAGAAATGTTATGCTTTTTTCACTATAACTGCTTGGTAACGTCGTGTTGGGGGAAAACTGAAATTGTTTGGCGGATGTTAGTCACGGTAATTTTTATTTCCTGGTTTTGTTCGGGGAATTATTCATTTACAAATTAAGCACTGATTATCTTTCAGATGTTTCTTGAGCATCTGCACTCATTTAGTCACCTCCAAAAGCCACCATTCATTGCATTCCTGAGGCAACTAATTTATTATGTAAGAAAAAAGGCCCACAGCGGTGTCTCCTGCCACAGCAAATTTAGTTTTTCTGTTTGGTATTTGGCGTAATTTATCAGGAAGTGACTATCATCATCTCTTTTGCTCATCGCAAATGTTTTATTCGATATTCCAGTTTTGTGCTTAAGTTTAATTCGCTACTTTGGCTTTTACACTTGCAGTGCAGAAGCAGGTTTACACCCAATGCTATGTAGTTACTGCTGTGGAAAAACCAGTGTCAAACAATGCAGTGTTTCAATATTATTGGTTGGATGCTTAGCAGTTGACAGACAAATGTGTACCTCACATTATCTATGTTTCCACTGTTGGGATCAAAGCCAGCTTTTCACTGTCAACTTCATAGTATAGTCTATAACAGTGGTTTAAAAAGTAGGGGTTGGGACAATGAAGACGGAGCTTGTTCATTTCCAAAAATCTAATTAGTTATATTAAACCATTAGAATTACCATATTTTATCAATAAGATACTGAAGATAAAATAGTAGTTTATACTTACTATAAAGTTACTATAGTAGCTTATAGTTACTAGTTCAATTGGATTAGGACTCCTGGAGTGATTACATTATATTAAAGACACAGCAATAGCATCAGATACGTCAATAGCATCTTTCTGGCACTTTACAGCACTCGCATACATTAAAAAAAAATTTAACGAAGTATAGACATGGATCAATTGGTGTGTGTGTGTGTGTGTGTGTGTGCGCACCTTTGCATGCAAGGTTTTTGTATTTATACCCACCTCAGAGGATATTGGGGGTCGCGAGTCACTGGCATTGTTATTTTGGGAGTCGCGGGCTAAAATGTTTGTGAAACCCTGGTCTACAATGTATAACATGAAAAACAACAGTGCTCAATAAAGTATGTAGACAAGTCACATGCTGCATTCATCCAATCGCGACAGCTAGCTCTGCAAATAATTAGAATAACCCAGGAGATTACAGTGACACATCAGAATACCCAGGATTGAATATTATATCGAAGTATTTATACGTTGATGTTTGAATATGTACAAGTTTGCGTCAGTCAGAATTTGCTATGACTTTTATTTCAGTATGTTGATGTACTTCCTACTGATGTTGATGTACCTTCAAATTGATGTCATCAGAGAAGGACCACCACTCCAAACGCAGAAGCAAATAGTCAGACTTTGATTACTAAAACTAACTTTTTTTTCCAGTGTATTAACTTGCACAGATTAATTATTCACCAAACAAATAACAATGTTCACTAGCAAAACATTGCTCAACATTGTAAATCATGATTTCAAAGTGACTTTTAACAAGAAAACTTGGGCTTATAGAGTGACCTAAGGTTTACTATTTCAAATGTGGATATCCCCTCTGTAAATAATAATCAATATTCTCGATTTCTGTTTTGTCCTTGTAGTGCTGACAGCAAAAAACACACAGGAAATAATAAGCACAGATGCTGCTTGTGTCCAAACTGAAGCTACAAGCATTGTGAAGCCACATGTGTGCACTGAAGAGGTCTCAACATTGCTGCCCAGCTCTGATTCAAAAGAGGACACTCAGCCTGATGAGGAAGACATTGAGGTAGATGTAGAAGGGTCTGTTGGCTCTCCTTTAGGGCTTTTGGCAGCTAGACAGATCGTCAGATTGACCATTGAGAGTCCACTGGACGTAGAGGATGAGTCAGAGGTTGATGAAGAAGAGGAGGAGGTGGATGTCACCGGAGAGGAGACTGATTGAATTTTTTATGTTCATGTTACGATTTATTAACCTTAATAATTGTTGTCAATAGCAGATGTTTGAGCAAAGTTCTCAAAGCCCCGAGTTTAATATATCAAATGGTGAGAAGAATCATTTTTGTCAGTTTGTTGTCAAGAGATTAAGCCTATCAATTTGTTTTCCGTTGTCTCGTACATGTGTAAAGTTACATATTAAAAGTATGTAATTAAAATAAATTTACATTATATATAAGTTCATATTCACTTGAATGTGTGTAATTATTTGAGATACTACGGTAGATGCTCAAGAAGAAGATTAATATTGGCATTAACAAAAATAGATTTAATTTTAAACGAATGTTTTTGTTTTATAACTGAGTTGATAAACTGACAATAAATAGCTGTACGTGTGTGTAACTAAGAAAGGTTTTTAGTCTAAAAATTCTGTCAATTTTAGTTGTATTTAATACAATAACTATATAATACGTTAAGAAAGAATTTTGTTGGTCTGACTTCTTAAAAAGGTTATAATAGGTCCTCTTTAAGAAAGATGTAAAATAAGTCGCTTATATCTCTAAAGCATGTATGTGTAGTTTCAGCTGGAAATACCCCACAAACAATGTTTTATAACTCTTTGAAACTGCTCCTTTTAGACTTTGACCCTAAGTGTGAATTTTTGTGACTGTCACTTTAAATTCAAATGAGGTCTTTTCAAAAGAGGGCGGAGCTACAAATGCCTGTGTGTCAGCATAGTGGCAGATCCAAAAAAAAAGAAAAGGCTGCGTCCGAAACCGCATACTTCCATACTGTATATTACGCTTAAATCGGTATGCGAGCCAAATGGATGTCTGAATTCATAGAATTCGAAAATTAGTATGCGAGAAGTACCCTGATGACCTACTGCAGGGGTGTCCAACCTCGGTCCTGGAGGGCGGTAGTCCTGGAGAGTTTAGCTCCAACTTGCTTCAACAGCTGTCAGGAAGTTTCTTGTATATGTGGTAAGAGCTTAATTAGCTGGTTCAGGTGTGGTTGATTAGGGTTGAATGTAAACTCTCCAGGACACTGGGCCTCCAGAACCAAGTGTGGACACCCCTGACCTACTACTTCTATAGAGAGTTGTGCATTCCATGCATGGTGCGCTGTCCCATGGTGCCCCGCGAGAGAATTCATGAATGGGATTGAAGTGACACAACTGAAGTGGGTGGGTCATGTGACCCTGATTAAGGCTGCATTTACTTAATGTAATGTCCATGGTGTGATTTATGCATGTGATGTTTACAACAGTTTTATATTAGCTTATAATGGTTACGTCGTGGATAGTGTGTGCTCTCTCGTTAACATGCTTATAGACTTGTGCTACATGACAATATCAAAGCTTTTTTTAGTCCTCAGGTTTGAGATTTAAGTTTTTGGACTTGTGAATTGCAAGGTCCAGGAACAGATTGGGGTTACAAATCCGGCATGTTACCCTAGGATGTAGAGAAAGTGAAAGTGAACAGCGGACGGGGGAGGAGGGTGGTTGAGGAGGGGGATTGGTAAAATGAGATGCCAGGCATAAATAATGTTCCCGCATAAATAATGCCCTGGGCTACGTCCGAAACCACCTACTATTCAGTAGGTACTGCATTTGAATTTAAACGTACTACTCGGTCGTTAGTAAAGTACGTTCTATACAGTATGAATGTGAAAAATAATAAATCAATTCGGACGTACTACATCTGCCATTTTGTCATGATCACATGACCTTCCTGTGTCGGTTGCGTCGCTTTACTTCCATTCATGAATTCTCTTGCGAGGCATTTTGGGATAGCGCAGTGTGCATGTGATGCGTCATCCGGGTACTTCTCGCATAATGATTTTCGAATTCTATGAATTCGGACATACCACTCGGCTCGCATACTGATTTTAGCGTACTGTATTATATGGAAGTATGCTGTTTTGGACGCAGCCCTGGTGTTCCCCTCTAATGGCATGTACAAAGGGGGATGTCAATCGAATTCTTTCTGCAGACGTTATTGTATGGAATTTGTACTATTATAATAATGCTTTTTGTTTTTCTTAATCATTACTTTTTATAAACTGTTTTTGTTAAATGTTAGAAAACTGTTAGGGGAAAAAGATCACTCCAGCACTACTTATTTATTGATATATATATATATATATATATATATATATATATATATATATATATATATATATATATATATATATATATATATATATATATATATATATATATATATATATATATGTAATGTATAAAAATATACATTACACTTTTGAGCTTTCTTTCTCCTAGGTTTTTTCACAATATGAAATTATAATCAGTCAATAAATGTAAGCGTTATTGTATTTTATATCCGAGAAAAAGCAGCTCCTCCGTTCAGTTGCGTCTGTTTACAGCGCACCGATGACCGGTTTAAGATGGCGTCTGCGTTGACGTATCGGAGCAGCGGACCGGACCGACCACGAGGCGTCTCACTTTTCAATAGAAAACTTTATTGTCAGCGGATGTAGCAATTACAACGCTGGATGGAAAGGAGGATCCACGTGGGTTGTTTCTCCGGTCAAGCACACAGACACTGAAGGTTAAAGCAGGCTGTCGAGGCTCTTTGTTGAACGGGATCCGCGCGCAGACCGGTGGGTTTTTGTCGAGGGGGAACCGAAAGGACGTTTGCAGAAATGGACCCGATGAAAGCGCAGCAGCTCGCCGCAGAGCTGGAGGTGGAGATGATGGCTGACATGTACAACCGGTATGCAGATTTTATTCATATGCAACAAAAATTATTTGTGTGACATTACTTGCATTATTGATGCAGACATCTGATATGCTATTGTGCAGTAGTTTGTGCAGCTATTTGTTTTTTACGATTAGTTGTAGCATAACGTTATTATGTGTATTAAGACACCAGGCCTTGATCAAGATCGCATAATTTGACATTTTAGGGCAGAATTCAGTAAATCTATATAATCCTTGATGTTAGCTGCAATAACCTGTATCATCAGATTACGAGCATTGCTATTGCAGTGACAGGTCCATGCATTCAAGTCCTGCACATCTTGAACCGTCAGGTTCATTTTTTTGTCCTCTGTCACTTTGAGAAAGTTAAGTTTGAGTGTTTACTTAAAATGTATGTGCTGGTCCAATGTACAAGTCAACATGTGTGTATAAATACACAATTATTAGTTATTAGTATGCTTTATATTAGATTGGTGTATTAAAATGTTATATAAAAATGCCTGTGACATTGACATTGGTATATTCTTGTGAAGAGCTTTTTAAGTGAAAAAAAAGACTAATTGAGTGTTTTATGTAATGTTCGGTTGTTATGAAGTTAAATATTTGCCATGCCTATGCATTTATTCCTGCTATGTAAAAGTCTAGAGTTGATAATTGTATGTGGTTGGGCTGGATAATCACCTACTCAATTTGATGGATATTTCTCTTATTATTTGTTGAAAATTACTAGTTACATAATGTGTTATGTTATAGATGCTATAAATATAAAGGTATAGTTGTTGGTACTATAATATGGGACATTCTACCAGAAAAGTACATTTTCACTTATAAAAACTGTGATAAGACCTGACCTTTAAGCTTTTCTTTCTCAAAAACAAAAAAACAAAACAAAAAATCATGCAAAAACAAGCATGAAATCATACAATTCATTGATAGAATGCATCTTTGATCACTGTCAGCTTCTTCATCAAACGAGTCATAGCCTTAAAGGTGTATTGCATGCATTTTATTTTAAGTTAAATGCAAATGTTACAGGACTGACAGAAACATGGGGGCAATTGTAAAATAGTATTTCTTTGTTGAATTTATTCATAGTTTCATGTTTTAATCAGTTAGTGTGAATGCTAATAACTTAAACTTGCTATTTTAAAAGTTTTTTCCCCCTAAATAACAGTTTATAGCATAACAAAAGTATTAACACTGTAGGTTCAGTTGGGCTGAGGACAAGGATGACAGGGTTTATACAGTGTAAAATGTTTTCAATAAAGAACAAAAATCTGAGAACCAAATGAATGACATATTCCTTCACAGAACAACTCACAGAAATCAACCATCGGTTCAGTTTAGAAAGTTTTTGAGATAAAATCCTTATATATTCACTTTATTTGTTTTTATTTCAAGGACGAATGATGTACATCTCAGGTAGAATGTCCCATATAAATTATATTTATATTGATATTATACAAATATTTAACATTTTCTATGGATTCCTTGAACCATGAAAAAATGGTGGTAAGGTAAAAAATAATGTATTGAATTATTTCTGAGGAGAGAGAAAAAAATTGTTTGGAAGAGCAAAAAAGAAGCCCAAAACAACTCCCAATAATATTATATTATTATAATAATATCCAAACTCAATCATATATTATTAATTATAAAGATTATGTTATAAAGAAATATACTGAAATTGACAGTACAGCTCGTTGATGAATGCTATAAATTCAATTCAATTCAATTCAGCTTTATTTGTATAGCGCTTTTACAATGTAGATTGTGTCAAAGCAGCTTCACATAAATGGTCATAGTAACTGGAACAGTGTGGTTCAGTAACTGGAACAGTGTGGTTCAGGTTTTAGTGTTTAGGTTCAGTTCAGTTCAGTTTAGCTCTGTTCAGTGTGATTTAATCATTACTGAGAGTTCAAACACTGAAGAGCAAATTCATCGATTCAAGATATTAATTGTAAATCGGCTGACTTCTCCAGATTACATATTTTTGCTGTTATAATTGAGCAAAAGGGTCCTGCCAATCTATTGTGGAAATGAAAATAGTTACACAACATCTCTCCTCTAGTGCACTTCACAAAAGTGTGCTTACTCCATTTCATCATCCTAGCAGTTTTTATGATCATAAATTTGGGAGAGCAAAATATTTCAACACAACCCTACAATACAATTGATGCAATTTGTCTAACCTTAACCAGATGGAAAACCACAGATTTGGCAACCCTGTTGTCAGGTGTTTCTTCAGATAGTATTAATGCCTAATACAATTTTACTCCTTGATTGTCAATAGTTTAGCCCTACTGTTGTAGTCTCTATAAAATAACGGATTGAGTTAATGGACGTTATTAGTGCTTAAATACGTTGTTCAGCTGTTCCAAAGCTGTTTTTCCCATTCATGTTATTTATTAAAATGTTAGAAATGATCATTGGTAAAGAATTATAAGCCATGAACCAAACCAAACAGCTGCAAGGAGAATCTGAATGTGTATCAAATGACAAAAGTCAAGTAATTTGGTAAGAGCTACAACATCATGAAGTACTGTGAACCCAATTTCTAAAAAAAACATCAGATAAATGTATATCTTTCATTTAAAACTGAATGGCTCTCTATATAAAAACAATATATCTGACATATTTTGTTTCTTCATGGAAGCGTGTGGAGCTAAATATCAATAATGTGTGCTTTCCTCGCTGGAGCTTTGTAATTGGTGGAAAGTCTGTACAGCATCATGGAAAATGTAGTTTCCCTGCACCGATTCAGCATATAAACATTCAATCATTATTATTAACCTTTATTAATCTGGGGTCATCACAGCGGAATGAACCGCCAACTTATCTAGCACATGTTTTACACAGTGGATGCCCTTCCAGCCGCAACCCATTTGTGGGAAACATCCATACACACCCATTCACATAAAATACACTGGACAATTTAGCCTACTTGATTCCCTTGTACTGCATGTCTTTAGACTTGTGGGGGAAACCGGAGGAAACACACACAAACACAGGGAGAACAGGCAAACTCCACACAGAAACGCCAACTGACCCAGCTGGGGCTCGAAGTCGAACCATTGACCTTTGGCGATTGTGCTATCCACTGTGCTGCCTGCTTATGAACATAACAGTTTTGAAGATGAGTGAATGGGAACAGATGGGTTCAACCAAAGCATATAATCTCATCTCCGCTCTTCTTTCTCCTTATGCAGGATGACCAACGCGTGTCACAGGAAATGTGTTCCCCCTCATTATAAGGAAGCGGAGCTCTCGAAGGGGGAAGCTGTTTGTCTGGACCGCTGTGTGGCCAAATACTTGGACTTGCATGAGAGACTCGGCCGAAAACTCACAGAGCTCTCGGTTCAGGATGAGGAGGTGATGAGGAAAGCTGCTGCTGGAACTGGATAATCTTATATAAACTCCAAGGGTGGGGGATCAAGTCCTTGGATGATGGGGTTTATGGGAGAAGTGGGCACAATTTGGACATCCAAACAGGGAAATCTGACAGGATTGCCCATGGATATATACCTTCTAAAGTGAATATGAACACATATTGACTTTCTGTTAGATATGCCATGTGAGGGGTAAAGCGTTTTGGAGGAGATGATTGGATGTTTTACCTCAGAAGTTGATGAGTGTTTTGGCTTTAGCAGTTATTGACAGGAATAAGATGTCTTGTTGAAGAAATTTGAGAATTGATGTCCTTGTGAAATTGTTGGTAACTTTTTATGTTGGCTCTGGTCATTGTTATTTCTGTCGTTTTACTAAATCTTTCTTTATTGGTCAACAAAATAAAAATGTTTACCATTTTGTCATGTTCTTAAATATTTTTAAATTGTTTTTGCAGACATAGAAAAGCAAGGAACAGACAGACAAACCATCAAATAACAATAATCTGTGCTAAATGTAAAATAAAGCATGAAACAAGGGAAAATAGTGACATACAAGACATATATCACCTACAAAAATACACAGCAATGGATGCAAAATTCTTGCAAATGGATTACAAATCTTAAGAAATTAAACAACACTATTAGTCTTTATGGGGTTTTAGAGACTGGATCCCACATTTTATTAAATTTCCCAAATTTTTCAGAGTTCCCAGAAGTGGTATATCTCTAATTCTTTCCAAATGTAAAGGGGTGAGTCCAAGAAGCCCAGTCTGAAAAAGAGGCCTGGCATATTTCTTCCAGAAACCAAGGATAACTTCTTTTAGCTATATATAGCTAATTTTGCTATACTGAACAGGTAACCATACATGTTGGTTTAGTCTCCAGAAAATCTGAGCCGCCAAAAATTGCCATCATTGGGTCAGGGAGTAAAACACAATCGCAAACCTTACTAAGGTACTGAAATATTTCAAACCAAAAAAATCTGAATTTGAACACCGTAGCAAAAAAGATGTGCACAGCAGCTTTACACTTGTCACGTGTAGGGTAAACTGAGGGATAGAATTTACTAAGCTTGTTTTTTTTAATAGTGAAGTCTGTGTAATACGTTGTACTGAATAAGGCTGTCTAGAATTTATAAATCGTGAATAAACAGGTAACATTGTCATTTTCTGATTCTTTATTCAAAGCAATGTTCTGAAATCACTACTAAAATACTGCTTAAACCAGCCTAGGCTGATTTGACTGATCAACCAGGCTGGTTTTAGAGGCGTTTTAGCCACTTTCAAGCTGATTTGCAGCCTGGTCTTAGCTGGTCAGGCTGGTTGTAGCTGGTTTTAGCTGGTAATTTTCCAGCCTGACTAGCTAAGACCAGGCTGGAACTGTCTGCAAACCAGCTTAAAAGTGGCCAAAACCCCTCTAAAACCAGGCTGGTCAACCAGCTAAAACCAGCCAACCAGCTTAGGCTGGTTTAATCTGTTTTTTTTCAGCAGGGTATTATACTCTGAAAGTAATTTATAAAGTTGTGTCAGGATGGTTAATCAATGTATTTTTAGTTATTTAAAGTGTCAGTTTCCCAGGGTCTTTTAGAGGACATGCGTCACTATTGTCTTCTTTAAGCACCACATATTTAACTAATCTCAGTTCCAACATAATATTTCTTGTTGGTTTTTGACAAGTTTGACAGACCTCACTGTAAACTGAAGATTCTTCATGTTAAAAAGTAATGCCTGGCACATTTCACATTTTACATTTCAAGCTTTGTCATGTATTATTGTTAAAATCAATCATGTGTAGAACATGCTTAGTTACTGTGTTGTGTTGATAACAATGTTAGCATTTCTATATCAAGTTTGTTCACAAATATTGCGCAAGCTAAGAGGTTCTCTTCCAATCGGATTGGGTCATTTATGGATAGCCCGGACTTCAAGCACTGTCCCTTTAAGAAAATAGGGAACTAGTGAGAAAACTTTCATTTCCTTGTCTGTTTTCTTTATAATAGCCACACGCGACTTTTTATAAGGGCAATGTTTCGCTAGAAGCTCGATTTAAGTTCCTAAAAGTTAACTTTTATTATTTTAAAAGACTTTGCAGTCTTTGTTGCTACAGCGACGTTCATCGTTTTCCACTTCGGTGAGTTGTGTTTGCTTTTAGGTAGTTAATGCTCAATGTTTATTGGGCGCCGTGCCGTCTTCAAGCTTCACTGCATATAAAACAATACTTATAAATGTTAAAATGTTGTTCCTGTTTTTGAGTGACTTCTTTTTTGATACTTATTTTACCCTCAGACGTTGTTGTATTAACAAATGTCTTAATATGTAATCATAACCAACCACATTCATATTTTATACTCTCTCTCTCTCTCCCTCCCTCCTTTCATTTTTTATTGCATTCGCTCATATTTATTTAGGTTTTTGACTCGTTTTGCCATTGACAGTGATCTACCTGCAGTATTGCAGTTGTCAGTGAGTCTCTCAACCGCGAGATGGCAGCACTGATCGCTGACGATAACGTGTACCGCGAGGCGGAGCTAGACGGCGCGCCCCCTGCTGAAGCAGAGGATCCACCGCAGCTGCCCGGACCTGAGGGAAACATACAAGGACAGGTTAGTAGAACCAATAGTATTTTAAGGATGAAATCATTTTAAGGAGCCCGTTGTTACTGATCTGTGCAGTAGAGAGTGGTTGGTTTAGGGGAGGCAGGGTTCTTACACTTCCATAAACACCAGATTTAACAACTTTTTAAAGTGCCATTAATTATAAATCAACAACCTTTGTAATTCATACCCAGCATATGTAGCATCATGAAGGTCATTACTGTACTTTCAACTTTCACTTAGTATTTACTTTAGTAGTTTAATAATTGACCATTTAAAACAGTCATGTTCAAAGAACTAGCACATGTGTTTACTGAAAAAATGGTAAAATGTGCATTGTCAGTTTTGTTGTACAAGATTAATATTTAAGATTTTTAATTGAAGAATTTCTTTGTTTTTTTTGTGCTGTTTTTGACAATTGAGTACAATTGTTAAAATAAAGCCATAAACAAATGGGTTTAGGGTAATATAATAAGGGGTCCTAAAAATGAGGTCTTAAAATGCCCTCTCCAGTTGTGCAGGAACACAGTTCTCAGTCAAACACAGAGATGACATGAAAGCTTTGTCCACCATTTTTCCACCCCCTAACTAAGTTTAGTTCACCCAAACCTGAAAACTCTCATCATTTACTCATTAATCACTTGTCCACAAACCTTTTTGAGTTTCTTTTTTACTGTTGGACACATAAGAAGATACTTTGAAAAATGATGAAAACCGGTAAACATTGATTTCCATAGTATTTCTTTTTTCTACTATGAAAGTCAATGTTTACAGGCTTCAAACATGTTTCAAAACATCTTATTTTGTGTTCAACAGTTTTTTTTTACTCATAGAAGGTTTGAAATCACTTGAGGGTGTGTAAAAGTTAGTAAATCTTGATTTCTGTGTGAATTAGTCAAAATTATTTAAAATATACAAAAAAAAAATTTACACTCTAAAAAATGCTGGATTCCACACAATTCCTTTCATGTCGTTCCAACACAAATCAGTTTAGTTAACCTAATTGTTTTTACAAATTTAAAATGCATTGAACCTAAAACACTTAAGTTGTCCCCCAAAAAATTCAAGAGCTGTGTAGTTTCAGCTCATTTTACACGTAGTTTGAACAAGCAGCAAAAATATTGTTTTTGAGTGTAGTTAAGGTGCTAAATAGTGCATAATATAACTTCAGGTTACAACTTCACACATTGTTTTTTCACCTTGAGTTATCATGGTGGCCTCAGACTTTCAGAACTTTCTTCCTCTGGCAGGTGGAGGAGTTTCTCGGCCCACATCCAGACTACGATGAGGAGGAGGAGGAGCGCAAGTACTACAGGCGAAAGCGGCTGGGTGTAGTGAAGAACGTGGTGGGGGCCAGTTGCGGAGGAATGATCATCTACAGCGTCTACATGGGTCAGCCGTTGCGCATCACACACACACACCACAGGCGCACGATATGATTCAGGCCAGATGACTTCATACTCCTCAAAGTCTGCGCGCAGCTTTATAAAAAGATCCTACTGTAAATACGACATTGAGTAGGACTCTTCTTATGTCATGCCGTTGTATCAGTGTGAGTTCATTATGCGCTGTCTGCTCCTGTACGCTGCCAATGAAGATGACGGATGATGAACTACACTCACTCTACACTCCTCTGGGCATTTTTAGCAACTTCATTGACATGCAAACACACAGATACATACACACATACATATGCATGAACTCACATACACTTATATGTACATACATACATACACACACATACATACACAAATATGCACACATACACACACATACTCTATACACGCACACATACACAAACACTCACACATACACGTATGCATACATAAACGTGCACAAACCCACATAAACACCCACACACATGCACAGACTTACATACATACACTTATACACATATATTCATACACAAACACACACACACACGCATTTACACATACCAGTATACACACACACACACACACATAGAAACAACATAGTGTGTGTGTATACATACATATACATAAACACACACACATACACCCATAAATAAACAAACACATGCACTTACACATACGCATGCAGATTTACATCTACATACACAAGCACGCACACACACACATAAATACATATAGAAACACATACATACACATAGATACACAAAGACACACACACACACAATAACAGACACAAATACATATAAAAAGACACACATTCATAAACAAACGTACACACACCAAAATACACACACACACACACACACACACACACAAACACACACATATACATACACAAACGTACACCCATATATATACATACACATGCACACACACATACATACACAAGACACACATTCATACAGAACACACACACACACACATACGTAGACAAACACGCACATATACATAGATAAACAGGCACACATACACACACAAAAACATACACACCCTCACACATGCAAGAACACACACACACACACCCATAAATAAACAAACACATGCACTTACACATACGCATGCACATTTACATATACATACACAAACACACACACATATACATACATATAGAAACGCATACATACACATAGAAACACATACATACACATAGATACACAAAGACACACACACACAATAACACACACAAATACATACAAAAAGACACGCATTCATAAACAAACGTACACACACCAAAATACACACACACACACACACACACACACACACACACACACACACACACAACACATTTACATATACATACACAAACACACACACATATACATACATATAGAAACGCATACATACACATAGACACACAGACACACACACAAATACATACAAAAAGAAGCACATACATACAGAAACGTACACACACACAAATACATACATACACACACACATACACATACATACCCAAACTTGCACACACACAAATACATACTGAAACACACACATATACATAAACAAACATGCACACACACAAAAATACATACACAAACATGTACACACACATACATACATGAACATGCACACATAAACATATACATACACAAACAAGTACACATACACAGATATATACAAACACGCATGTACACATAGATACATGAACACATACACATACACATGCACACACAGACTCACAAAGATGTCTCATTTGGTCAGAGACTGTAAATCTGAGGAACAGCTGATGAATCTAGGACATCTCATCGCATGCCAAACACAAAAGACGTTTTTGTGAAAGTGTTTCTGAATCTTTTATTGTCCTGCAGGTTTGTTACAGATGCAGTTGATTCTGCACTACGATGAGACGTACCGAGAGGTCAAGTACGGCACATTAGGGCTGGAGGACATTGACAATAAAATGCTGATGGGGATCAACGTTACGCCTATCGTCGGCCTGCTCTACACACCGGTGCTCATTAGGTAGAAAACAGACCATTTATGTATTTCTGCTTACGTTATATCACTTTGCTCATTTAGTTGTTTGGTTTGCTCGTCACCCACCGCCACAATTATTAGCAGCACTTTCTCATCTAATGCTTGAGCAGTAATGGGCATCAAAGGTCTTTTCACAGCCTTTTTGTAAACCAGAAACGACTTGATAATGATAACTGCGGTCCAGTTTGCCCACTCGTTTTCTCCTTGCCTTTTCTGATTAAAAAAAAAGTTTCTCAATTTCTTGTTCAGGTTTCTGGGCACTAAATGGATGATGTTTCTGGCGTCAGGCATCTATGCTCTGTTTGTTTCAACCAATTACTGGGAGCGATATTACACTCTTGTGCCGTCAGCGGTGGCCATCGGTGTCGTCATCGTTCCACTGTGGGCGTCAATGGGAAACTACATCACTAGGTGAGGGGGCTCGGCATCAGCTGGTAGAGCATTAATTGTTGGAAAGTTTAAGGTTTTTTTACTAATACAATGTTCATGATGGAAGTCAATTTGGTGTGCGATAGGATTGTTTTGATATCGATACTAGTATCAGAAATACTTGCAGATACTGCAAAAAATCTGGCATTGGTAGAGTTTTTTTTTTTTTACTACTAATACAATTTTCTGTCATGATGGAAGTCTGTTGGTTGTGCCAAAGGGCTCTTCCGATAACGATACTAGTATCGGAAATACTGACCAATACTGCAAACATTCTGGCATTAGTAGAGTTTTTTTTTTTTTTTACCAATACAATGATCTTCCGATACTAGTATCGGAAATACTTAGCAATACTGCAAATATTCTGGCATTAGTAGAGTTTTTTTTTTTTTTTTTTTACCAATACAATGATGTTCCGATACCAATACTAGTATCGGAAATACTTAGCAATACTGCAAACATTCTGGCATTAGTAGAGTTTATTTTTTTACTTATACAATGTTCTTTCATGATGGAAGTCTGTTGGATGTGCCATAGGGTTCTTCTTTTTTTCACAATTGCAATGTTCTGTCTTGATGGAAATCTGTAATCTGTTGGGTGTGCCATTGGGTTTTTCCGATACTGATACTAGTATTGGAAATACTCACCGATACTGCAAAAATTCTGGCATCGGTAGAGTTTTTTTACTAGTACAATGTTCTGTCATGATGGAAATCTGTTGGTTGTGCCATAGAATTCTTCCAATACCGATTCTAGTATCGTAAATACTCAACAATACTGCAAACATTCTGGCACTGGTAGAGTTTTTTTTTACTGATACAATGTTCTTCCGATACCAATACTAGTATCGAAAATACTCACCGATACTGCAAAAATTCTGGCATCAGTAGAGTTTTTTTTTTTTACTAATACAATGTTCTGTCATGAGGGAAATCTGTTGGTTGTGCCATAGAGTTCTTCCGATACCTATTCTAGTATCGGAAATACTCACCAATACTGCAAACATTTTGGCAGTGTTTTTTTACTAATACAATGTTCTGTCATGATGGAAGTCTATCGGGTAGGGTTGTTCTGATACTAGTATGGGTAATTCTTACCAATACTGCAAAAATTCTGTCATTGGTAGAGGTTACTTTTAATATTACAATGTTCTGTCCTGATGGAACTAAGTCTGTTGGGTGTGCCATAGGGTTGTTCTGATACCGATACTAATATTAAAAGTACTCACTGATACTGCAAACATTCTGGCATTGGTAGAGTTTTTTTACTAATACAATGTTCTGTCATGATGGTAATCTGTTGGGTTTGCCATAGGGTAGTTCCGATACAAGTATGAGTCATACACAATCTGGCATCAGTATCGATAAGTATTTAAAATTATATACTGAGCCGATACCATCTTTTTGATTGAGACGTATGCCCATGAGTTCATCTTTGCTGCTCAGAATGCAAACACAGAAAGTTGTGCTTTTGTTGCCATAGAAACCACTTTTATTATTCATATTCATTTTAAACGTTTTTTGCTCCTATTTTACACAGTAATCCATTGAATTATATTTTTCAGTCACTAAAGCTTTAAATTCTAAATGTTTTCACCATGACACCTTGTTTTTATTTTTTTTAGCCTGACTTAGATTAGATCAAATCAGAAAAATATCTTATACCTCAATATAATATCTAATACTGTACAACTCTCTTTTTTTCAGTTTACAGCGTTTTATTCATGGCTGAGCTTGTTTTAGTAATAAATAGTACATAATATTATTGTTGAATGTCTGATAGCAAAGATAATAAAAATACTCTGTTCAGTACTCAGTATTGCTCGTCAACATTTAAATACCACAGTGTTGCTTGCTTTAGAAATTTGCAGCGTGTTTTTGGCGATCCTCCTCCACCCCAGCTCCTGTGGATTGGTCCTGTGGACCTGTGGATTGATCTGCTTTGAGTATTGCTATGAGTAATGCAGTAGTGTGTTATATTCTCAGTAAGTAAGTCTGTGAATGTTCTGGCTGTCGCAAGTCTCTGCAGTAGTAGGCAGCAGCAGCAGTGTAGCAGATTTACAACACCAAGACCAAACACATCAATATTACTATGTAGATCTTCATTAGCCTACTAAAAATCTCTCAGAGAGTTATGATGACAGAAATACTTGTAATCAACAGGGATGGTTTAAATCGACCAACGATGTTGCTGTAAATACATCTAAAATAGTACATAGGATTTATTAAGATTTAGTTCCGATAACTAGTTTTTAGGAAAAACTCACAAATTTTGTCATATTATTTCTTAAAACAAGCCATATTTTTGCTTGTCTAGAAAATGCTTCTTGATTTAAGAATATGTAGATATTTGGATTAGAAACAAGACAAAGAATATAAGTATGAAAAGCATTTTTGCAGTGTTTAGATGGTCTCAGTGTGACCAAAAGCTCATTTAAACACTTCCAGTCAGATTCTCTAACTAACAACCCACCCGCTCTCTTGCTCCTCTGTGTCAGAATGGCCCAGCAGTACTACGAGTTTGTGAATTACAAGGATGAAAATGTCCAGGAGCAGAAAAAACCTCCCAAAGGAGCTTTCCATTCCTACATCATCATCTTCCAGTCCGTCTTCTACATCATTTTTCATGTGAGTATAGATGAGCGATGTGTGAATTGCACTAAGCCGTGAAGATCCACTAATAGTTAACCCATGATTAGTTGTGTTGTTCTCTTTGCCATCAGAATCAAAGTATTTATATGCATTCACAGCTGTGTGTGTGTGTACGTGTCAGATGCCGGCTGCATATGTGGGTTTTTTACATTAATATGCTGCTATTAATAGCTTTCTCTCTCTCTGTGTGTGTGTGTCTTTCTCTGCAGCTGAGTTTCGTGTTTGCCGAGTTCCCCACGGTGCTGTTCCTCAATAACTATCTGAATGATTACAGACATACTCTCTTCAAAGTCTCACAGTGTGGTAAAATACCCTCTTTCTCTCAGTCTTGTTCTCTTTTTAGCTTCACATGCTGATATTTTCATTAAATATTATATTCACTTATTATTAGTGCTCATGTGTTTCTTGTAAAGCAAGCAAACAGGCGAACTTTATAAAAACTCTTTCAAAACTGAAGTGCTGCAGTTTCACTGGAGATACTTTTTTTTAAAAGGGAAAGGAGGTTTTTTGGGGTATTTCTAGAAGTTTAAACAACTATAAAAATATCTATGAAACTACAATGATAAACACTAGGTATAGGTATATATATATATATATATCGTAAGAGAACAATAAGACATACAAACAAACCTAGAAAAACAATGGAAAACCAAGTATATTACTTGAACCCAGTGACGGCAGGAAGAATAGTTGACACTTCTGGTACTCTTTTAAACTTGTGAATGCAACTGCATTAAAAATAACACAATATCAAGGTAATATTTAGTTATTAACATTCAAAAGTTTGTCAAAAATTATTTTCAGTTAATATTGTGTATTTACTTGATATAGTGTATAAGTGTGTGTGTGTAAATGTGTGTGTGGATGTTTCACAGAGATGGGTTGCGGCTGGAAGGGCATCCGCTGTGTAAAAACTTGCTGGATAAGTTGGCGGTTCATTTCGCTGTGGCGACCCCGGATTAATAAAAGGACTAAGCCGACAAGAAAATGAATGAATGAATGAATTTACTTGATCACAATGTGATAAACATTGTAATACGGTCATGTGATTCTTCTGAAATAAATAAATACAGTATGCTATAAATATACCATATTTTTATTTCAAAATTCACATTTTGATTCAAAAACTTGAGAAGATTGCATTTATTTATTTTTTTAATCTTTGTTTATTTATTTATTTTATTTTATTTTATTAGTCTTTTTTATTTTACTAGAGCGTAACGTAGAAATTAGTAATTCTTTCCATTTCATAAATTTCTCTTATTGTTTTGATTGTTTAGAAACTAAACTTATAAGACAGTTGTTGCTTAACTTTATTGGTGATTCAAAATATGTAATATTTGATGTTTCCCCATTTAGACTGAATGCTCGAGAGGCGTTTCAAAGATGGCCGCTGAGTGAAATGACTTGCCTTAAAGGGACTTTGGTGTGAAAGACAAGAGGAGGAGCATAAAAATAAAACCCGCCCCTACTCAATATTCAGTTTCAGTTGGAAATGCGTCATCATGCTGAAAAAAAAAATCTGCAGCACTTTCCGTTTCACGCTAACTTTTAAACTCTTATTTTTAAAGTACAGTAAAGCTGTGGACTTTTTTAATCGACTTACTATGCTGAATAGATAACCAACTCCAATTAACACCAGCAAAAAGCTCATCAAAACCATCTTGAATGCACAAAGGCTTCATGTGTTAAAAAACAAGAGCATATCTCACAAAATCAAATGAAACGTGTCAAGAATATTTGAATTCCTTTCTCTGGTGTGGGGGAAAGAAAAAAAATCCGTCATTTGGCAATTAGAAACTTCACACTTCTGACTAGCTGCAAAGCAGAGCGTCAGCACATCTGCTCCTCTCTCTTCTGCTGTGTCTGGCTCTCTCCGCAGCCATGACGTTCACAGTTTTTATTTAAACCACTATTTGACTTTGAAAATAGCCAGTCAATCACACCACATCACCAGCAGCGCTGTTTAACGCAGAAAAAAGTCACCCACTTGCCATATTGTACAGTGACAAACATGTGAAAGACGCAGTTTGGATCAAAAAGTTTATGCTTCCAGACCTAAAGTGACCTAAATTTAAATCGGATGCAGTCTGGTTAGATAACTCCTGCTCTGTTTTCTCTCTCTCTCTCTCTCTCTCTCTCTCTCTCTCTCTTAGGAGCCGGCGGCAAAGGAGTGATTGAGAATTTCAATAAGACGGTTTTGAAGAGTCTGCCTCGCTCTCTGCTGCTTATCGAGGTTGAGAGTGCGCTTATGGGAGCAGCGTTTCTCTCCATGCTCATAGTAAGACCTCCATCATCATCATCATCATCATCGTTGCTATGCTGACGTATTTATCCTCCACATTACCTTAAATACCCACAGCATTAGCACTAAATCAATGAGCGAAAGAGAGTAGAGTGTTTCTTTATAGTCTCTTCACGTAGACCACTGAAGAGCCTAAGGTGGTCCGGGACCATGCTTTTTAGTTTAGTAACTCAAGCGATGATGTTCAAGCAGAATGTGCTGCAAAGAAATGAAATAATTAGCTTCAAGCTTCCAAGTCTATACCCTTCTTGTTCTTAACATGCCCTAAACATAGAAGGTTATTTTGAAAAGTGTTGGAAACCTGTAACCTTTCATAGTAATTTAATTTTTAACTACAATGGGTTAATTTTTAGCCAATGGGTTTCCCAGTATGGTTTGTGGCTGGAGGGGCATCCACTGCCTAAAACGTATGCTGGATAAGTTGAATTAGGTCCCCTGATAAATAAAGGGACTCAGCCAAAGGAAAATGAATGAAGTCAATGGGTACAGGTTTCTACATTCTTCAGAATATCTTCAGTTGTGTTTAATGGAACCAATTGAGGGTAAATAAATAGTGAGTATGGTTTCATTTTTAGGTGGACTATCTCTTTAAGTAACTGTACAAGTGTTTTGTTAATATCACGCAGTATTCATAAATCTAGTTACACTGTAACAAGAACATATTAACATAAACGACTGACTTTATTTACATTTTTATAAATAATTTCCATGATCATGTAATGAAAGTGGATGAGTCAATATGTGTCTCAATATACAGTATAGTTAACAATACACGTAAAGCAATAGTTCACCCAAAAAAGAAAATTAAATCATCATTTACTCTACCATCAGTTGTCACAAACCTGTCTTTCTTCTGTTGAACACAAAATAAATTTGGTTTGGAAAATGTTGGAAACCTGTAACCATTGACTTCCATTGTCATTTTTTTCCTACTACAGAATTCAATGGGTACAGATTTCTCATTCTTCAAAACATATTCTTTTGTGTTTAACAGAGGAAAGTAACTCATTGAGGTTTGGAACCACTTGAGGGAGAGTAAATACTGAGTATGGTTTTTATTTTTGGGTTAACTTTAATTTTAAGTAACTCTACAAATGTGTTGTTAATGTTATGCGGTATTTATAATTGTAGCTACACCTTAACAAGAACATATTAACATAAACCACTGACTTTATATACATTTTTTTTCAAAATAATTTCTACGATCACGTAATGAAAAAAAAAAAAAAAAAAAAAGTAAAAAAGCTTTTTTATTTCACAGATTAAGTTTTTAGTTACAATAATCCCCAAATCATCCCGCATAAATTCGCAGATTTTTTTTTACAAAGTTCTGTGCAAAAATAGCAAAAAATGTCCCTCAGATTCTGTCTGACCCTACTCATGAAATAAATCACTGTGAAGTTATCATAAAATTGATCCATATGGCCTATTCACTATTTTCCAAGTGAAACTGAAACTGATATTCAGTCATCGAAAGGGTGTTTTTTATTAACCGTCATTTGCTTTCATAAATCTTTATAACGCTAGGTAGAAAAATTGTTTCTATCTGTATCAAATATGTTTCAGTTAAAGCACATTTATACTGCAATATTTCATTCCAGTGCCATTTATGTATGTATAATAATATTAATTATAATAGTAATAGTAATAATAATAAATAGTTTAATTTTAAAGCCTTGACAACAAAATATCTGTAAAGATTATTTCATCAATGGCTGTGAAAGAACATTCTATAACTTTCTATTTTAAAAAATGATGGTCAGTTTCATACTTTTATTCTGCTTGGATATCCAGAGCTTATATTTTTATCCTGAATTTTATGCTATATTGGGAATTTAAATTTAGTCCCTGAGTGCTGTTACGTACTCGTAATTTCACAGTTCATGTTCCATGCTAAAAAGGATTTTCATGTTTTAAGAGAACTCTTCTTTTTAAGAGTGTGCTATCAATGTTCCCCTAATAGTTCCTGCTGCTGTGTGGAGCTGCATACCGGCCCACAGAAGAAATTGACCTGCGCAGCATTGGCTGGGGAAACATCTTCCAGCTGCCCTTCAAGCACTTACGAGATTACCGCATCCGCCTGCTCTGCCCGTTCTTCATCTACTCTGGCTTTGAAGTGCTCTTTGCCGTCCAGGGCCTCACACTGGTAAGTGAGAAAATACACTGAATATACACAGGTACACTCCCAACATCACAATGTCAGCTCTCGGGATTTTTTAGCTTAACAAGGTTGCCATTCTGCAAAATAGTTCACCTGAATATGAAAACCTGTCATCATTTACTGACCCTCGTGTAGCTAGGAGGTTTCTGTTCCTCTATTGTGTGTGCAGAGAACCGAAGCTAAGAAATCTGAAGTGAGAGGTTTAACCTAAGAGATGTTTTTTTTTTTTAATTTTGAAATGTTCTTTGAGGTCACACTATTGATATTTTAGCACAAAAAACATCATAATATAGAAGTAACTGACTATTTTTTTGTGCTCTTTTTGACCCTTATCATCAAAATGTGCTGTTTAAATGGGCGTGGCCAATTGTAGACTCAAAAGTAAGCACCCACTGCTCTGATTGGCTAACAGTTTTGCATATTAACAGGCAGCGAAGTAGAAGTGGGTTGATATTTTGTGGAGGCGGGGCTTATCCACCCTATTACATCATAAAGTAGAACATTCCAGACACTGTTGTTTTGTCAGACTGCCTTCAATATAAGCTGATTTTAGAGAAACCACAAAGTGTTGAGTTCTGAAACTTGCAGGATGTTTTTATAGTATCATGAGCTCCCATATGTCTAAAAATCAAAGGATTTACGGTTTCTTAGTTCATGGCCCCTTTAAGTGATCAATAAATTTTATTTAGGCACACAAAAATAGAGTAGATCACATATGGTCAACATGGGAGCTTGTGTTTGTGATGCAAGAATAACCAATGTGATATGCTTTAGCAACAGACTGCTGAACAACGCGTTTAAAACAATGTGAAGACTTGTGCGGCCGACATTGCTTCTATCCTGAACTTGAAAATATGATTGACAGAATCGTAGAAATGCTGGATTAAGATCGTTTAGAGGGGTCGAATGGAGATCACGATCTTTTTATGATTAATTGTGCAGCTCTAGTATGTGTTTTAATATTTATTAAGATGGACAAAATAAGCCTAAATAAAACCTGATTCATGATCAAGCAATTGTATCTCTTCTCAAAAATTACTGTAGATTAAGCCTTGTGCATCCTTATGGAGACTTTTGTCTTTTTTAGTTTAGTTTTTGTGATCATTTTGGTTGTTAATGTAAATAGCACACATTCATTCATTCATTTTCCTTTGGCTTAATCCCTTGTTTATCAGGGGTTGCCACAGCGGAATTAATTAACAACCGTTCTGGCATATGTTTTATGCATGTTTTATGCCAACTGGCCCAGCCAGGACTCGAACCAGCAAACCTTCTTGCTGTGACAGTGCTAACCACTGAGCCACCTTGCTTCCCCTAAATAGCATACATTATCAATATAGGCCCATTCTGAAAATGTAGCCCTATATACATTTCTGGACATCGTGAATAATGTAGCCAGAAGTATGTATGGCTGCATTTCATCTTCAAAACGAATGCTACTTAGTGGCATGATGGCGTTCCTTTTCGCGATTACCAGCTGACCGCTTACCTCCGTATGGACTGCTTTCCTGCTGTTACCAGTTTGTCCAGTAGCTCGCCATGTACGTTGGTCAACTTGATACACAGAGCTGACCACAACGACCGGGTTCGAGTCCAGCAAAGAACGGTTCCAGAAAGTAGGCAAGATAAAAATAGAAGCCAAAAAATAAAATAACCAACTACATTACAGTGCGAGAAAGTGGAAAAATCTGAAAACGTGGTAAAAATCAGACGAGGGCTTTTCTTTTTCTGTATTGCTTTTTAAAACTGTTGATTGGGTTTAAGGAAGTGGGAGGGTGGGTCAATCGGTGCTTTTAAAAGCACTATTAGTTGGGTTTAGGGAAGGAGGAGGGTGGGTCAGTCGATCGGTCAGTCAGTCAGTCTCTAGTGGCCTCTGGTGGATTTACACGAGAACAGCAGGCGCAAATGGCACTTGCAGGAGAAAATTTGAGATTTAAAAAAGCATACACAGCGACCTCTTGTGGAAAACAAAAACTGCAATAAAGCTCCTGGGACATATTTGGCACTGTCCAGAAATGTATATAGTGATACGTTTTCAGAATGAGCCTGGGTTGTACATTTTGGAGTTATTTCTATTTTTACTCTTTTCATAAATTTAATTTACAGTAAGAACAAAAATAGTTTCTCTCTGGATCTCCAGGACAAAAAATGGCCCCCTTAAAAACCTTCTCAAAAAAAGCAATATTTCATTATAGCGTTTACATTCTTTACTAACAGTCTTGTTGGCAAGGCTAACACATTTTAGCTTTTATTAATATATTTATTTTTTAAGTTAACACTTTTTGCACTGCAGTGCAAATAATAACAATATTGTGATTATAACTATGTCAGTGTGTTTGTATGAATATCTAAAATGGTTATTAATGTATGTTCTGAGATGTAAGGGGTTCTTTTTCATGTGACACTGTAAAAAATGAAGCATCATTTTTGAGTCTGTTAATAAGCTTTGAAACACAAGTTATTTTAGGAGGTTTCTGTTCCTCTATTGTATGTGGAGATAACCACAGGTAAGAAGACATTTGAAGCAAGAGATTTAACATAAGAGATGTGAAGCTTTAAATAGAAAACAAATGAGCTGTTTTTTTTAATATAAACTGTCCTTTTTTTTGGTCACATCATTGATATTATAGCACAAAAACATCAAAATATAGAAGTAATTGGCTACTTTCTGTGCTGTCCTTGGCACTGTACAAAATGTTGCATCAAAATGATAAAATCATAACACATCAAAAATGTTTTTTTTAATCATTGACTAGAAAAACTAATAATAAAAAAACTGCTCCGATTTTAGCATTAAAAATGATTTTTAAATCAATTTTAAAGTTGTTTTTACACTTATGAATGAATTTAGTAGTTTGATTATGACTAAAGGTAGCAGGGTTAAATCCATCAGTTAATATATATAAAAGCGTTTTAATATTCCTTCATGACCTTTTATTGAATCTTCCACAATTTCAGACAGAAACCTCATTTAGGATATCTCAATTTGTGCCATACAGGTTTGCCAATAAATGATGACAGAATTTCCCATTTTTGGCATTCAGGTTAATTAATCTATTAAAGTAACAGCGCACAGTCACTCACAGATTGTCTCCTTTTTTTATCCGCTGTGTTTCTCAGTCATATGGAGTGTGTGCAGTGGGCATGGAGAAGCTGTGGCTGTTGGTTATGGTGTACGGTTTGTCATCCTCCATCTGTTCGGCTCTTGCTTTGGCATTGTTGCGATTGCCCAGGCCCGTTATTCTCCTAGCAGGAGCGTTTGTGCACTTCGTGTTGATCATCGCTCTGATGTGCTGGTCGCCCACTCCTCGGGACACCAGCCGTCTTCCTTATCTGCTGGTGGTCTCTGCACTTTGGGGCCTGGGCACTGCCCTTAACAAAACCGGACTGAGCAGTGAGTACATACGCCATTTATGCATTAAGTGTACACTACCTGATAAAAGTCTTGTTGTTAATCCCAGTCGTAAGAGCAACAAATAATAACTTGACTTCTAGTTGATCATTTGGAAAAGCGACATGAACATTATTGAGCATGTCTGGGGTAAGAGGCATTGAAGATGAATCCAAAGAATCAAGGCATGATCATATTTTATTTTGGTAAAATAAGCGTAATCTAGAGGCCTTTGTCTTTCATATAAGCCACTTCTGATACCAAATGATCAACTAGAAGTCAAATTATTATTTGTTGTTCCTAATACTTGGATCGGCAACAAGACTTTTGTCAGGGAGTGTATGTTCATGTGATGATAAATAATATAACGTTGTTGTGTGCAGCTCTGCTGGGGATGCTGTATGAGGACAAGGAGCGACTGGACTTTGTTTACACCATCTATCATTGGTGGCAAGCTATTGCCATCTTCATCGTCTACCTCTGGTCTGCATTACCTATGCGGGTAAAAAAAAATTACCTCAATGCATATCATTGCATTTACTGTGACTGTTAGATCGCACACAAATGTTAGGTCACATTCTCTATGCCAGATAAAAAAAACATCTGGATGGCCGATCCTGTCAGGAAATGTCAGTTTCTCCAGGTATCCAGACAACAAGCCAGCAGAGTTTCCAATACCCAAATCTGTTAACCAGTATTCAAGTGAATTACTATCAATATAGGAGTTGACTGAGAAAGCCAGAGAGAAGCAGAAGCAGGAGACCAAGTAATGATGATAAAGAAATAGCAGAGTTTATTGACTCCCTACCCCTCGTTTTGCGCATGCCCGTGAAGGGGTAGTGATGTCCCAATTCTCTTTAGCTTGAAGGCGTAGGGCTAAGGGGAAGGGGTATAGCCATCAAACGAAGATTTTTCAGGACCACACTCAAAACCAAGGAAAAATTTTTCCAGAATTCGCCAGCCACAGCTGCACCCGGAAGTAAGGAGATCCACAAATTAGTATTTTTTGTCAACATTTTTACAACAAACAAACACATTTTGACATATTCATAACCGTGTTTGTGTTTTACTGTCATGGTTTAAAAAAAACCCCTAAAAACCCAATGACAACTTCTGTACAGCAGTCCCACAACATTCTGACACTCGATGACACTGGAATACCCTGTCAGAAAGTTTAGTGGCTGTCAATGGGCTTTTTACAGTGTATGCTATAATGTTAATGTTGTTTTTGGTGTGTTAACATTGACGAATATGGCCACTGTGTTAAATGGACAGTATTACGATCTTATTGCCACATTAGATCGTTATGATAACATAATATATGCCTTCACTCATTTCCTGAATACTAATACCCAAAAAATAGCACAACTGGAATCACTACAGCAGTTGCCATCGTCTGATCTCATATTAAGCAAGAGATGGCGATGAAGTATGATGTGCAGGTGCTGTAGTGCTGTCCCAATTCTTAGGGGTAAATTTTGAAGCCTTCCCCTTAACCCTCGGTTGTAAGAGGGTAGGGGTACAAAATAGAATTGGAATTGGGCCTAAAGTTGCGTATGATTCAATGCTCAGACTTCGCCTGACCAGGATAAATCCAACAAGTGTTATTATACCACAAGCATAGCTATGGAAAATGACTGCTTCTGTTTTTACCGTGAATATATGCACGTTTTATTTAGTTCAGTGCTATTGTTTACGTTCTGTGCCTCCAATTTGTCTGACTGATGATGCGTTGTGAAAACACTGTAAATAATTTTAGAATTACATCACTAAAAAACATTCTCTCACAGATGTTAAATGCTTTTACTAATAGTATACTAACATCTTTTTGATATATTTACATATATTTACAGCTGATGGACATTTGTCTAGTCATTTCAATAGGAATCAGCAGAATTTAGAGTTAATGACTTGAGAGCAATAGATTTCCACCTGGTTTGAAAGTGCCTACTGTATGAGCAATGCACAGGTTTTGTTCATAAAGTTTTGTCACTTTAACTTTTAATGAACATTCGAAAACAGGGGCGTCCTAACTTAACCCAGGAGGGCCACTGTCCTGCAGAGTTCAGCTTTCACAAGTGTGTTTATTATGGTAGAAACTAAACTATTTACGATAGTGACAGCCAGGAACAGAACTGGACACCCTTGCTCTAATAAAATGACGTCTAATGTATCTGCATTAAACTATTGTTATTTATACCAATTTTAGTCATGATCGATGCAAATGAATCAAACAGTTTACTGTTCATTAACCTGGGTGTACTGTTCAAATGTACTACTCTTTGGTTATGTTCGGGGCTGTTTTTGCCCCATTGACTTCCATTGTAATGACATCTTTTGATTGCAATGGCATGACGGCATATAATCGTGTATTTTTAATTGTTGGTGGGTTTCCCTGTTGGGAAGAGGTAAAATGTATACATTTTACGCAAGCTTAACCCTTAATATAGGCCTGTACAAAAAGATTTCTGGCTTTATATGAAGCTCTATAGAGTAAAAAAGCAGATTATAGTGTGTGCATGAATACGCTTACTATGTGTACTGTTCTGAGAGCTGAGCTGCTTATTTTGATTTTCTCAGACATATCAAGATACACAGACACACACACGAACACACACTATACTCCATTTAGAAGGCAGAAACTAAGCTGATGATTAACAGTAAAAATTACATTTTTACCTCATCCCAACAGGGTTAAACACCAACAATCAAGAATGCATGATTATATGGTGTCATGGCTTTGAAATAAAAAAGTCAATAAAATGGAAGTCAATAGGGCAAAAACAGCCACCAACATAACAAAAGAGAAGTACATTTTGAAAGCATTTTCTCAAAATATGTATCAAAATAAGGTTTGTCACCAAAAAATATTCCATTTGCTAAAACACAGAGGAAGTTGTGGCCAAATTAAGACTGAAAATCACCCCAGAATGGATGAAAACATCCCCAACAACACACAAGAGTTAAATATTTGCAGGCAGAAAAATCCATTGTCCATTTTAAATAGTGCAGTCCCTTTTAAAACACGCTCAAACTGACATTTTTTTTTCACATGAAAACTTCTCATGGTCGAAATAACTTGTAAATTTGTGTTTAAATGTCGGCGCAATAGCCTAGTGGTTAATGTGCCAACATATGGTGCAATAGCACGTCAGGACGTCGCAAGTTCGAATCCCGGCTTGAGGACATTTCCCTACCCCACTCCCTCTCTCTCCCACTTCGCTTCCCGTCTTGATACTGTCCTATCTAATAAAGGCAAAAAGGCCAAAAATAAATCTTAAAAAAAAAATGTGTCTTTAAACACAGAGATATCCGTTTTCCACATGATCACACTATTGTAAATGAATGTTTCTCTGTGGTCTCTTTCCAAGGCTAAGCTGGGGCTGCTGTTGTTGACTCTCCTAGTGGCGTCTCTCTGTTACGTGCAGATGGAGCGACGTCTGGCCAAGAAAATTCCCTTCAGGTTGCCACGAATCCCCCGTCCTCGACACAAGGTAATTCATCTATTAATGTTTCCCTGCCAATAGGAGCTTTATGCATTTAATAAAAATGAAAAAAGTCTTTATCATAATAATGGCCATTATTGCAGTGAGTTGTTTTAATTTATTACTTCAGAACTGTAACCTTAAACAGCACCTCTTTATTACCACCATTGGCTCATTCTCAGTTTGTAAAATCAAACAAATGTACTTACTAAGGCCCTGTATACAGTGCACTTTTTCTCATCCGATCACAAGGGGTCATTCGAGACACAAGCTTTTTTCTCTTTTGACCACTTGTGTTCAATTTCGTGAAGACTCTTTCCTCTTATTTCGTCATGCTGGACATTACTTTCATGGACTTTTGAGTACTATTGACTAGACTACAGAGTTTACGAGAAAGAAAACAAGCGGATGAAAAGGATGCCAGCTATGAATTTATATTGCATGTGTAATATCTTGTCATGGTGCACGTTCGCGTTCTCATAACATGTTATGATCATGTTTGCAGTCAGTCAGTAAACTGGTTAAATGCAATCCAATCAAATGCATTATCAACTACAATCTGGATAAATAAGTGGTCAAAAAAGGACAATCTCAAAACATTTTAGACCATTTATAGATTAAATGTAATTTTTTCAGATCATAAGTTCATTTATCAGGGGTCTCCACAGCGGAATGAACCGCCAGCTATTCTGAAATATGTTTTACGCAGCAGATGCCTTTGCAACCACTACTCAGTAATGGGAAACATACATGCTCACATTCACACAAACACCCATACACTACGGGCAATTTAGTTCATCAAATTCACCTATATCGCGTGACTTTAGACTGTGGGGGAAACCGGAGCAAACCCACCGGCAAAACCGGAGGAAACCCACCGAACACGGGGAGAACATATAAACTCCACACAGAAATGCCAACTGGCCCAGCCGGGACTCGAACTAGTAACGTTCCTGCTGTTAGGCGACAGTGCTAACCACCGAGCCACCGTGCCATCCTGGATTACAAGTTAGCAATGGTAAATACAATTGTAAATGTATTGTATTTACCATTGCAAACATATGATCTGACAATAAATACATTATAATACTACCAATAAACATGGCCTGTCAGTTGTATATTTGCTAAAGCATTTGCAATAATTCTGTCATGCAAAAAATTATTGGTGGAAAAAGATGAATCACAAATTTTTTTTTGGACATAATATGTGTACTTTGTGTATTATCTGTGTGTATAAATACACACATGCATGCATATATTTAAGAAAATGCTTATTTATATTTAGCTATTAACTATACAGGTATATGACACAAAGTATATTTCAATTAAAACATCTTTCAAGAGTTTACACTTAGCTTGATAAAAAAGCATGTTTGGCATGCTGTCCCGGGAGAGCCCTGAGCTCAGAATCAGAATCCTCAAGCCTGAGGGCTCCCTCCTGTTTGAAGGGCGAGGGTAGAGTTTGAAATCAGGTAGGTCTCGAGAGCTCCCCTGCTAGGGAACGTGTTAGGAACAGCCAGATATATCTGGCTAAGAATTGTCTTAAGATGCAACTTTGGGTTAGTCAATTTATTTATGATGTATGTCTTTGGACGGTGGGAGAAAACCGGGGAACCTGGGGAAAACCACGCAAGCACGGGGAGAACATGCAAACTCTGCACAGAAACGCCGACTGGCCTGGTGAGGGGTCCGACCAGTGGCATTCTTGCTGTGAGGCATCAGTGCTAATCACTGGGCTGCCGTGGCTCCCTATCAGAGAAGGAAAGAAGTCAGGGTGAGAGGGGGGATTCTTCAAGACAAAGACGACTAAAGTGGAAAACTTATTTATAGTGAGTCAGTATTCATCTGATTGGCGCAATTATGATGCAGCACCAGCTTTGATCAATCATAAGCATGTGATCCTCTCGAAATTAGTTTGTAAATAAACCACACATATAACAAAAATGTTTTGTATACACTGTAAAAAAATACTGAATTCCACAATTCCTACATGTTGCCCAACACAAATTGATAAATAAGAAGTTAACATTTTTACAAATTAAAGAGTATTAAACATAAAACAATTAAGTTGTCACTTAAAAATGAGAATTTTGTTGTTGTGAACAAGCAACAAAAGTAATTTTTTGAGTTTAGCTTTGTTTTATGTATGTGCGTGTATCCCTTAGACATAAATAAACATGACATAAATGTACACACATGTATATTATGTCAAAACAAACTTTTATTTTGGATGTGATTAATCTAAAAAAATTCTGAACTGCAATTTTAGTAGCATGACTACTGTTCCAGGTGGATGGATCACTGCTTTTGTCATGGTTATACAGTGAGGAAATTAAGTCACCATTTTTCTTAGTAAACCTATTTCTAAAGGTGCTGTTGACTTAAAATTTTCCCCGGATGTCGGTATCAACCAAAGAAATCCATATATGCAAAAAAAAACCAAATCTAATTAGTTTACAGATGAAATTAAGGAAGATGCAGAAAGGCAGTGAAATCCCACACAGCAGCTGAAATCTCTCATTATTCTTCAGCAACTCTCTGCCCTTCTTAAGTGTAAATTAATATTTGCTGCTTCAGTCCAACATCTACATTAGCAGGATGATGAAGATAAAACCAGGGTGGAAAATTCAGCAAGGCAGTGATCCAAAACTCAGGCAAAGAAACTCTCAAGTGCTTTCAGAGAAAGAAAATCAAGCTGTAGAATGGCCCAGCCAATCACCTGACCTAAATCCAACATAGAATATAAAATAAAGATCAGATTTGATAGATGAGACCCACCGAACCATCAAGATATTTACACTCAAGTCTGTGGAAAAACTCCCACCTGAGCAATGCATGTGACTTCATTCTCCGTATGAGAGGTGTCTTTAGGCTGCCATCACCAAAAAAGGCTTTTACATAAAGTACTAAATACATTTCAGTAGTTCAGCACTTTCTCCATGTGTCATGTATTGTTATTATACACTCATTTTTTTTTAGATGTTTTTGTTTTGTTTTATTTTTTTATGTTTGTTCTGTTTACTAAAGTCTGGTTCGATTCCATGTCAACAGCTCCTTTAGAAATATTATTCCCAGGAAAATACATGACATGCTCAATACTTATTTCTGTTATAATGACAATTAACTGTTCCTCAAAGGTCAAAGGTTATCGATACCTCGAGGAAGAGAATTCTGATGAATCCGACACAGACCTGAGTGATGCAGACGACGATGATGATAAAGAGGAGGACGAGAGGATGTTGGTGGAGGAGGACAGAAATACAGACGGCGATTCCCAGGGATCACCGGGACCAGAGAGGAAGCGGGTTCGAGACCGCAGGAGGAAACACGACAACACTGCCTACGAGCAGGCCGGAGAGAGAGACGACTACGTTCAACACTGAACAAAAACTGAAAAAAGAAGAGGTGAAAGATGAGCCTGTGCTGAAAAATACTGAATAGCAAGATTGAAAGAGAAGCAATGCTAAAGGGATATATTTCCTCACTTTTTTCCATTAAATATGTTTTTTTTTCGTTAGAAATGAAAAGTGAGGGTCGCTGATGAAAAACGTTAGGTCAGAAAGTAGTGTACAGTTAAACAAACATACCAAAAAAGTGGAAGTGACAAGAGCCATTTTCGTATCATTGAAAGGGGAAGTGAAAGGAGGAAACGGTGGATAAGTTCAGGTGGTTTGTTGCCATAGAAATAGATATTCTCCGTTTTCGAACGTGATGAACTCGAGTTTTATATTTCATTCCAATACCTTTTAGTGTGTGTGTGTGTGTGTGTGTGTGTGTGTGTGTGTGTGTGTGTGTGTGTGTGTGTGTGTGTGTGTGTGTGTGTGTGTGTGTGTTTTATATTCTTTATAGTCGTTTTCCTTGTAATTTAACAACTGAATGTCCCTCTATTAGAAAGTGTTAGATTTCATTTTTATATATTATCCCATACAGAAATCTGATGATATAAATTCATATTTGTAGTTTAAGTATATAATATATACAGTTGAAGTCACAAATATTAGCCCTTCTGAATATATTTTTCCCCAATTTCTGTTAAAAAAATTTTCAACACATTTCTAAACATAATAGTTTTAATAACTCATTCCTTTGCCATGATGACAGTACATAATATTTGACTAGAGTTTTTTTAAGATACTAGTATTCAGTTTAAAGTGCAATTTAAATCCTTAATCAGATTAATTGGGCAAGATAAGGCAATTAGGCAAGCCATTGTATAACAAATAAACAAGAATGTTCACTTAGCATGTTTCTTAATATCTGCAAACGTATTATGGTATTTTCATGCTTTAGAAGAGTCAAAAACTTACATACAGTGTCTTTAAGAGAGATGATCATTTTGACCTTATAATGGTTTAAAAAATTGAAAAACTGCTTTTATTCTAGCCATAATAAAACAAATAAGACTTTCTCCAGAAGAACAAAATGCCATAGGTAATATTGTGAAAATTTCCTTGCTCTCTTAAATATCAATTGGGAAATATTTGAAAAAGAAAAACTAATTCAGAGGAGAGCGAATCATATTGACTCCAACCATATATCAATTGTAACATACATTTTAAAATATTGCAAAATGGCCGCTTAAGTATTTTTTCCAACTATTTTAATTACAAATATGTACACATTTGTAATTTAAGGGATGAAAAAAATATATATGAAAGTGGCCGTTTTTGCAATATTTAGATATATGTGTTGCATATATATACAGTTGAAGCCAGAATTATTAGCCCCTTTTGATTTTTTTTTTTCTTTTTAAAATATTTCCTTGATGTTTAACAGATTCAGGAAATTTTCACAGTATGCCTGATAATATTTTTTCTTCTGAAGAAAGTCCTTTTTGTTTTATTAAGGCTAGAATTAAAGCAGTTTTCGATTTATTAAAACCATTTTAAGGTCTATATTATTAGCCCCTTTAAGGTATATGTTTTTTTGATAGTCTACAGGACAAACGTTATTGTCGTTCTACAATAACTTGCCTAATTACTGTAACCTGCCTAGTTAACTTAATTAACCTAGTTAATCCTTTAAATGTCACTTTTAACTGTATAGAAGTGTCTTGAAAAATATCTAGCAAAATATTATTTACTGTCATCATGGCAAAAATAAAATAAATCAGTTATTAGAAATGAGTTATTAAAACTAAAATAATTAGAAATGTGTTGAAAACATCTTCTCTTTGTTAAACTTAAATTGGTGGAAAAAATAAACAGGGCTAATAATTAAGGGAGGGGGTAATAATTTTGACTTCAATTGTGTGTGTGTGTGTGTGTGCGTGTGCGTGCTTGTGTGCGTGTGTGCGTGTGTCTGCGGGTACGTGCGTGCGTGTGTGTAAAAAAAAATCCATTTATGAACTTGTATGTCATATATGTAATTTGCATAAATTGTCATATATCAGATTTCTGTGTGGGATGTAGTTGTTTTGAATATTATTATAATAAAGATGATGAAGGAATTTTAAGTGCTGTAATTTGAACATGGTTCATAATAGTGTAATTATTTTTAGTGCAGAGTTGTTTTGCATTTTTTACCAGTTTCTCCTTCATTTTCAGTGGCGTTCTCACACACAATGCATTTTGCTTTCCACTTTTCCTCGTTTACAATGTTTTTTTCTATTTAAACATGTGCTAGGTAGACTTGTTGATCCTCTGCATTGGCCTTCTAAACATGTAGCACTTGTTTTACAGGAAAATATTTTTGCTTTTGCATTCACTCACAGTATTACTTAATTTTGGTTTTCAATTCTTAGCTGAAATCGGGATCTATCACTTAATAAGATGCAAAAACTTGGAGAGAGAAAAAAAGCTTGAGTCAAAACAAATTTAATACTTGTTCCTGATGATATATTGAGGTCTTATGAACAGAAAACTTTGGCCTATGCAAAAAATCTAACAAAAAACAAACTGAACATTACCTTTAATCCACAGCTTCTGCAAACGGTACTGAGTGTGTTCATGACAGTTTTCCTGTTGCACGATGCATGCACACACTGTAAAAGCCAACAGTCAACTTTATCAAATGAAATGAGTGTAGTTAACTCAAAATTTACTGAAAGTTAATTCTACTCACTTGAAAAGAGTTTTGAACACAGTGTTGAAGCTAATGAGTTAATTAAATACCTAAGCACTTCAACTAAAATGGATTAAGTTCACAGTACTCATTAGGATTTGTTTTTTAACTCAAATGGTTTGTAGCAATCAGGTTCCTCAAGCATTTTGAGTTGCATTAACTTATTGGGTTTTACAGTATTTAGTTGGTTTGAGTTCTTTCACCGGGTTTTGCTGTGCTCAAAATGCTTCGTTTACTCATGGATTAAGTTCACAGTACTTATTAGGATTAGTTTTTAAACCTAAATAGTTTGTTGCAATCAGTTTCATCACACGGTTTGAGTTACCTTAACTCTTTGGGTTTTACAGTGTAGGTACAAACATACACATTTGTGAAAATGTTTGTGTATTACGTTTTCAGGCTTTTAACGCACCCTAAATAAACATTTAGTAAAAAATATGTGACCCTGGACCACAACACCAGTCAAAAGTGTTAATTTTTGGAAAATAAGATGTATGGGTTATCTGAACGTTGAATTAAATAAGCTTTACATCGATGTAAACATTATAAGGAAGTCAGGATGCTATTTTATTGAGATACAACTATGAGGGTTAAAAAAAATCTAAATACTGAGGAAAATCGCCTATAAAGTTGTCCAAATGATGTTTTCAGCAATGCACATTACAGAGTTTTCCTATATGGTCCCACTTTCTATAAAGTGGCCTTAACTAATATGTACTTAAACTGAAATGAATAATTCATTACAATGTATTTATCATGTACAAGTCCATTGTACTTACGCTTGATTAAATACCTGCGTGTAATTATATTTGTAGTATTGCAGTAATTACATTTATAATGACACTGTTGACCATCCCTTACATCTTAACCCACACTTAAACCTACCAATACCACCAAACCTGTCACTAACCTTAATCACAACACATTATGAACACATTAAGTACATTGTATTTATAGTTTAGTGTAAATGCATAGTAGTTAAGGACACTTAATATAAAGTGGGACCTTATATATTTATGTAGGAAACTTAATTAATATCTCCATTAAACATGATCTTTACTAAATATTCGAATACGGTACTTTCAACCATACAATCTTTTTATTTGATTGCTGACAAAAACATACTGATGCAGCATAGGACATTGAAATATGGAAATGACTGCAGTGATTTGCAGACGTTTCATGTCATAGCTATCATGATATTGCCTATTTTGCATCCATTTTATAATAAAACTTCATAATGTAGTCCGTGTTCAGTTTTGTTTTTTAAAATGCTGGACTCTTACAATAATTATTACAGTTGATCAACGCCATTAATTAGCACGCAAACAGATGAAGAGATGCTCGTTTGAGGTGAGTATGCATTTTATTAGTCAACCTTCGTCCTCCTCTCCTCCGAATGGTCAAACACACGATCCCATCTGTCCCCATATGGCACTCATACGTCACAGAGCATGATATGTTAGCATATACAAATACATATCCCCCTCTGGTTGTCTGTTATATAGAGTATTAGCTTCATATGAATATTGTATATACAGTTGAAGTCAGAATTATTAGCCCCTCTTTATATTTTTTCCCTAATTTCTGTTTAACAGAAAGATTTTTTAACACTTTTCTAAACATAAGTTTTCATAAATCATTTCTGATAACAGATTATTTTATCTTTGTCATGATGACAGTACATAATATCTGACTAGATATTTTTCAAGATATTAGTTATCAGCTTAAAGTGACATTTAAAGGCTTAATTAGGTAGGTTCGGGTAATTCGGCAAGTCATTGTATAACAGTGGTTTGTTCTGTGGACAATCTAAAAACATTAAGGGGACTAAAAATGTTGACCTTAAAATGTTTTTGAAACAATTAAAAACTGCTTTCATTCCAGCCAAAATAAAACAAATAAGACTTTCTCCAGAAGAAAAAATATTACAGGAAATACTGTGGATATTTCCTTGCTCTGTTAAACATCATTTGGAAAATAATTGAAAAAGGAAACCAAAATTCACAGAAGGGCTAATAATATTGACTTCAACTGTTTATTGACAGCTCCTACTTTCTCATATGCTCATAAAAATGTGCCTTTTCCAGATATGCATCTGTATATATGCTGCATTTTTATTCATTCATTTGATTTGTGTCGTACTCGAGCACCATAAATGGAAACTATACGTGCAACCTGTGAACGTTTTACAATTTACCACACTGCACCTCATAAAGTGTCTGCTGCTAGAATGATTGAAGCCACGACTCTGCTCCCACACTTCCTTCCTCTTTCCCCCTCAGGCATTAATGCTGGATCCTGCGGATGGACTGGATCTGAGGGGTCTGGCAGTGGGAGCCCCAATCTTTCCAGTGCTGGTAGTCTCCGCTGTGCTTGTCACACTCCATAATGTACTGCTGTCCTCGATAGCCGGGGTACTCATAACACACAAAGCTGCGGAGGATGGACAGCAGAAGTGTGAGACAGAAGAAAAACAACAACTTGGAAATGAGGATGTAGCGACTCAATACAAAATGGCAAGCTGTCAGCAAAAGAGTAAAAAAAAAGTGATTTTTTCATAATAATTTTTGATAAGCAACAGATTTAGCTATTAACTTAGTTAGTTAATTTAATTCCTAGAGTTTATGGGTAGTTACTACACTGCAAAAATGCTTAGAAACACAGCTGTTGTTGAGGAATGTATCTACATGGTTCTGTTTAATACTAGGGTTGCACTTCACTTTTAGATATTCGCTTGCGAACGTCCCTAGCCACTTCCCTTCGACTATACCATTGTTATAATTCTTTAGTTGACATGCATAGTGGCTCAGTGGTTAGCACTGTCGCCTGACAATTCGCCGTAAAAATTAATTAACCATAGTGTATGTGTTTAAATGAGTGTGTATGGATGTTTCTCAATACTGGGTTGCAGCTGGAAGGGCATCCGCTGTGAAAAACATATGCTAGATAAGTTGGTGGTTCATTCCGCTGTGGCAACCCCTGATGAATAAAGGAACTAAGCCGAAGGAAAATGAATGAATAGTTGCTAATAGTCTAATACTGGCCTGTTTAGCTAGAAACAAAACAAGTTGCTAGGGTGCTATCAACATGACTTGAAATTGGTTGTTAGGGTGTTTTATGACTGGTATGTAGTTGCTAGGATGTTTTGTGTGATCATATGTGATTGCGTACCAGCCCAAGCGCAAGAATCAGATAAAAAGTGTATTAAAGTCGTTAATTTAAACATTAGAACTTGCTTCTTAACTAGACTTGGGGGTCGCACACCGGATGCACCGCACCACACAGCACCATGCATTTTAGAATTTTAAGCAAAGATTTCTATCAGGGTAAGCACACCAGCACAGCATGTCAGAGGCTATCTGCGGCGCCCAGCTTTAACTCAGGGCACTGTTCATATTTCTGCAGCGTCATCTGAATAGTTTCATTTTAAATAACCTTTGAATTTGTGCATCTGGTGTGTGACACTTCCAACTGTACACACTACCCGGCGCGTCGCAGAATGGTGGACCTGGTGTGCGACATGGGTTCGGCTGGCAGAGCGTATGGCTTTTTTTAAGACTCGAGCGAACAGTTTGCACAGCGCCACGTTTGATTTGAGTTGAATAGAATTCAGTTTGAAGAGATTTGGTCTGAAACATGTACGCCTGTACAGACATCTTTATGATCCGTCCATGCGTGATCATCATAGAGATAACCAGATGATCAACAATTCTTGGCTAGAAATTGCAACAGCCGTGGGAACATAAGAAAGTTTTTGTTAAAACTTTTAAGTAAAACTTGAAAGATAAGTTTGTTAAAACCAAAAAGAGAGGCCAAGGCAAAAGTAAAGACCCATGTGGTTTTAATACACAATTACAGAATGTGTTTTTCCACTATTTATAGGTTTTACACTGATGTATATATTACACTTTTGAATGTAAAACAATGCAATATTTACAAAACTAAAATGAATTAACAATTTTTTTTCTCAGAAATTTCTCTACAAATTAGATATGTCTCTATGTTTACAATATAATAATGGCCTGTTTTTCTGGGCTTTATTGGTGATAATGGTCAGGAATGTCGGACCATTATTGCCTTTTTAGCATATCAGCAGAGGACACAAACTTGCCAGACAGTAATGTGTAAATTGTTAAGTAGGTTAAATAAAGAAAAAAACTTTACTTTTTAGATTTTTAGTAAGTGTATTTTTTATTTTGATTTTTTGCTTTTATTCTTGCCATAATAAAAACATATTTGTAGATCAGCCCATGCTCTGTTATAAGTAATATTTGAATACACTTGGAAGGTGGAACTGTCTGAGAACAAAAGCAAGTGATGCATCAAAGTTTGATTAAAAAATCTTGAATGGTTATAAAAATCTTTATAATCATTCAATTAATTTATAAAAATATTTAGTTTAAAAATCTTGAATGATATTAATGACATGACGTCGTTCCAGAAAATTTCTACTTCTTTGTTTATTTGTCTGATATTACAGGGGGTTTCTTTTGACGCATCCGATGGACGCTACGCTACCATGATGCCCCACGAAAGATTTCTTTTTTTTTTTTTTATTGATACATGAATGACGTTTACAAAATATTGCCAGAGGTGTACATAAAAAAAAAAACGAAAAGCATAATAGAGTTATATAAAAGCACAAAGACTCAATAGGTAAAACAACATGAAATAAAAAAAGAAATAATACAAATAATGCTATGCCTTGCTAACGCACAATAACTTAAACACGTCGAACAAATACACAGTTTTAACAGCTTTTTTGTTTGTACTCTCCTTAATGGTATTTATATCTAGTGCTTTCGCCAATTGGTGAAGTTTTTTTTCCCTCTCCGCTGTCGCCACAAGCTTGCATCGGTAGAGCTACGCATCGATGGATTTACTCTCCAATGTTAAGGCCCTCAGTAGTGATTATTAAAACACACTGAACTGAGCTGAACTGAACTTAAACACTAAATACTGAACTACACTGTTCCAATTTACTATAACCATTTATGTAAAGCTGCTTTGACACAATTGTAAAAGCGCTATATAAATAAAGGTGAATTGAATAGTTCTTTAAGTACCACTGAGAGAAGAGGTTTCTGACTGCTAAATTTACAATGATGAATATGAAACTTAGAAAGGATAAACAAAAGATTAATAACATAAGCTTTATTTTCCAACTTATCATAGTAAAAAAAAAACAGAAATAACATTCATACAGTAAAAGAAAATGTCACAGCACTTTATCATTTTATAAATTTAGATATCTTCCACCATAAACGTTTTGTATGCTAGAAAAAATGAGGTTCTGCTTTGGGGTATAATGAACAGAATGAACAACGGACATCCATGTCTTCAATAAATCTGGTTAAAATGCTTAACAGGTAAAATTTGTATAGTATCTTAAATGAGATTTTTATTTATTTTATTTGTAATTAGATATTTATTAGGTAATATGGGTAATACCCAAACGTCCTCCAATCCAAAAAAGGATTCATGAATGAGAGTGAAGCAACGCAACTCATGCGAATAGTTCACGTAATGATGACAAAATGGCGGATGTAGTATGTCCGAGTTCCATTCGTACCGCTCACATTCATACATTCATACATTTTCTAATGGTCAAGTAGTATGTTTAAATTCATATGCAGTACCTACTAAGTAGTAGGTGGTTTCAGAAGCATGCCTTTGCATGTTTAAGTACATACCAGTTGCTAGATTATTGTAGATCAGGGGTGTCCAAACTCGGTTCTGAAGGGCCGGTGTCCTGCAAAGTTTAGTTCCAACCCCAATTAAACACACAGGTATACTAGAAACTTCCAAGCAGGTGTGTTGAAGCAAGTTGAAGCTAAACTATGCAGGACACCGGCCCTCCAAGGACTGAGTTTGGTAATCCCTGTTCTAGATGGTTAGTAGTTGCTTGCGTTTTATGTATAGTTACATACTAGCACAAATAAACTTCTAGCTTATTCTGGCTTCTCATAGTAACAGAATTAACAAGACGTGCATTTTTCAAAAGGATATGGGAGCTGCTTATGTCTGTGCAAGAGTTGCTTCCAATTGCTGAGAGATTTCGTTGGTATTAAGATTTCATTACTAGGCGATAACCTAGTCCATGTGATGTATGCAATTTATATCATCTGCTTATAAATTATCACTGTGTTAAATTATCAGGTTCCTGTGATGACGTGCGCTGAAATGCTAACAGATGTGGCGGTCGCAGGTCTTGTAAGTAATGCTGTTGTGTAATGATCTGAGTGTATCTGGTGTTACACGTGAGGAATGTGCGGTCAGAGATATTTTATTTTTGACAGTATGTTGCACTAGACTGTTTGGTGAAAGCACAATCATTAACACTTACAAACACACGGACTTGATACTGAGAATTGTGAGCTAGTGATGCTGTCGTTTGTGTGTGTGTTGTCAGCACAGCTGTTAAGCATGAGCAGTTTGCAGTTGAGGAGAACAGTAGTTTGGCAGCGATGGTGTTTTTGTGGAGCGTTACTCACGCGCCGCACTGCACATGCATGGAGCCCACTTGCTTGTCGCACCAGCCCATGGCCTGCAGAGATGGGTAGTCATCACACAGCTCTACACTGCGGCCCATGAAGTTCTCCTTCTCAAAGATGGTCATACGACTGTCCTGGTGGACCTACAAATGGAGAGACAGAGATTGAAGGAGAAGTGGAGGAAAGAAATGGAGGTAAGAAAATATCTACACTGAAAACAATGGTTCAAAGATGATTCCTTTAACGTACTTTTAGTTAAGTGGTCGTAAACCATTTATTTGAGCTGAATTTAAACAAACAAAATAAGTTGACATAACTAAAATTAATTTGTTTAAATTCAACACATTTAAATTGTTTGTAACAATTTTTCAGACAATATTTTTCATTGTAGGTTGTTTAATGATGTTTTTTAAATAAACATAATTTACAGTGAATTCAGAGGACACTAAATGCGTCATCTACACTGTAAAATGCAACTTAATTAATTAATTAGTGAGTAAACCTGTTGCCTTTAAGTTGACTTTACTTGAATATACTCTTGTTTTGGAAATGGACTCAGATTAGTTTTATCATTTTTGAATCCATTTAGCCAATCAGCAGGGGCCTCATGTACAAAGACTTGCGCTGAATTCATCCTAAAACATTGCGTGTGCACAAAGCTGTAAATGTGCATACACAGTAAAAAATTCAGATTTCTGAAACACTGCGTACACAGAATCCCACGCATATTTTCTTTGTGCAACCAAATTAACGTGAAACTAAGCGCACGTGCACGAGCGCAAACCCCTCCTTGCCTCCTCCCCCGTATAAATATAGTAATGACTCTACTTAACTAAACTAAACTAAAAAAATATGGCAAAAGCAAGCAAGAAGAGAAACTTCACAGAATGTGAATTGGAGGTGCTGCTATCAGAGGTAGACCAGAGAAAAACTGTGTTATTTGCAAGTTTGTTCTCCGCAATTAATAACAAAAGAAATTAAAAAATTGAGTGGGAGAGTTTAGCTGATGCTGTTAACAGAGTGGGGTCTGAACATCGCACTGTGAGTGAATTAAAAAAGGAATGGTCCGATGTAAAGATGCAGGTTAAGAGGAGAACAGCGGCGCACTGTCAAAGTGTGGACCAAACAGGTGGGAGATTAGGGGATGCTAAACTAACACCCTTTGAGGGGAGAGTTCCCTCATTTGTGGACTTTACTATCTGGAGTAGTATCCGTGTTTGTGGGAGACACGGATCTATTAGAGCAACACTTTGTTGGCAACGTCCCTCTGCTCTTATCAAGGTAGCCCCACTTTCATAACATTTCTTAACAATCAAAATGTATTATTATCAGAAATACAAAATAAATGCATGATCATTTCTTAGTGGATACTGATTCTGGAATGCATACCTGGCCACCCAAAGATCGCTGAAATTGAGTAAATTCATCTGAGGGCACATCATGTATTAAATGAGTGTGACATAATTAGGGCCACATCTGAGAGAGGTACTTAAAAGTATTGTTTGGTGTGGGTAAAGTCAGTCAGTGAGTCATGGTGGGGCAGTGGGTAGCACAATAGCGTCACAGCAAGAAGGTCACTGGTTAAGCCTCAGCTGGGTCAGTTGGCTTTTTTGTGTGGAGTTTGCATGTTCTCCCTGTGTTCGCGTGGGTTTCCTCTGCCTGCTGTGTTTTTTCCCACAAGTCCCAAGACATGTGGTATAGGTGAATTGAATCTACTAAATTAGCCGTGGTGTATGCAGTAGTGTATGGGTGTTTCCCAGTGTTGGGTTACAGCTGGAATGGCATCCGCTGCTTAAAACATATGCTGGATAAGTTGCCGGTTCATTCCACTGTGGTGACCCCTAATTAACAAAGGGACTAAGGTGAAAAGAAAGTGAATGAATGAATGTTGCATAGTGAATGTAGATTCTGGAATGCATACCTGGCAACCCAAAGATTGCTGAAATAAGTAAAATCATCTGACGGCACATCATGTATTAAATGAGTGTGACAATTTAGGGCCACATCTGAGAGAGGTATTTAGAAGAATTGTTTAGTGTGAGTAAAGTCAGTCAGTACATTAACGAGTATGATGGATTTACAAGTTTGTCGATCTCAAAATATGCCAAACCTTTCCCTTTGTGGGAATCCAGCAACTGACTCTGATTGGATGTAAAGGATGGGCTACTTTTCATTCTTCTTGAAAAGGTTTTGTGTTGTCATTAAGCTGGAAAATGTTATTTGACCTGGCAACCCTGCCGGGAAATCTCCTATTGTTAGCTGTTTGTCAGTGATGTGGAATTTTATGTATTTCATTTCAATTAATTTTTACATACTGAATATATTGTGAAGGGTCGGTTGGTTTTGGCACATTAGTTTGCAGTTGCTACGTTTTTATTACGTTTCTTATTCCTTGTTGCAAACTTGATGCTAAGCCAAAATCGTCTATCATATTCTGCTTCCTGGAATCGGCTCTTTTTCTATTTCAGTCAAATTCATTCATTGCATTGGAGGAGTGTGTGAGCGCTGGGAGTAAGTGTTCAGCATGTGTTCACACACTCACAGCGCTGCAGATGGGGCGCAGGGACATCATCCTCTCCACATGGTAGCCCAGATTGCCGCTGTAGGCATCCCACTGGGGGTATTCTCCTTTCTCCAGGACAAACTGCTGCCCCTGGAAGTCGTGGTGCTCATATCCCACCCAGCTGCACACAATCAGAATCAAAACTTTTTCACCTGCTCAAAGGTTAGGAATAAGTGAAACATTAGAAAACTTGTTTATTTCCAACAGCATACTAATGCACTTATTTGATATCAATTGAAGGATTGTTTTTAATCATTAATCATCTGTGGAATCTTTCATTTACACAAGATCTTTTTTATTGGATTAAAAAAAAAGAAAGTAAATTTATGATGTTCTTCACACACAAGAAAAATCCTTATTTTGTTAAAAAGTCATTATAAACTGGCCAAGAGTAGGTTTTGTTTTCTTGCTGCGCATACATGCTAACACCTTTGAACCTTTATTTTTAATAGTTTAGCATTAAGTTATTTGATTAATTTTTTAACATGAGATTTCTATGCCCTTCAAGGCTTCATTTATTTGGTTAAAGGGCACCTATTTTACCCCTTTTTCAAGATTTAAGAGTCTTTTGTGTCTCCAGAATGTGTCTGTTAGGTTTCAGCTCAAAACACTCATCAGATTATTTATTATTATACATTTTTTTTAAATCTGGGAAATTTGAACTGTTACAACATTGTAGCTGTTTTTGTAACCTGTGCCTTTAATGTTCCCATGTGCGTGTCAGAGCCAAAGCTTCTCCTTTTAAAATTGGACTGTCGTGCAGCTGTGGTGATGAATTACATAGCGATTTTACTCTCTTCATTACAAGCATGCACTGTTTTAAAAATTACAACGTTAAAACTCATTCACAGTGAGCTGAACAGATCTTTTAATCCCAGTTGCTATGCTCACGTCCAGTCTTGTTGATATGATTGTATGTGTTACTACGGAGGCATGTTAATACGCAGCTGTCAATCAATTCAGTGGGTGGGGAAACTACACTCCTACGTCATGTTGCGGTGGGCCTCAAAATGGGAGGGATTCGGGTTCTATTTTAACGTCAGGAAACTTTAAAATTAGAGACTTATTGTGTTTCTGTCACTCCAATATGACTGTAGACACAAGATGATTTTCATCATAGATGCCCTTTAACAATTACAAAATAATATTCATTCATTAATTTTCTTTTCAGCTTTGTCCCTTTATTAATCTGGGGTCGCCACAGCGGAGTGAATCGCCAATTTATCCAACATGTTTTACGCAGCAGATGCCCTTCCAGCCGCAACCCATCACTGGGAAAACAAAACAATATATAATAATAAAACAATATATAAATAATATAGTTATTATTAATTCTAATTGGTAATATTGTTAAACATTACTACAATTTTAATGCCCTGTTTACTATTTTAATAGACTTTAAAATTTATATTTTAAAACATATTTTATTCATGCGAAGGCACTATTAAAATGACAGATTCTTTCTCAGGATAAACGGTTAAATAAAGAACTTTAAGAATAAAAAACAAGGGATAGTTCACCTAAAAATGGTGTCATAATATTCTCATGCTTGACTATTTCCAAACCTGTTTGAGAATCTTTCTACTGGTGAACATGAGAAAGACCACATTTTTTGAGAAGATCATGTGCTATGATTGATCACGGCTGGTCCTGCATCAACAATCATTGATAAACCAATCAGATGAATCCAAGCCTTTAATAAATAGCTCTTACCTCCATTCTCTTTGTTTTTCTATCCCCTATCCACCCCATCAGCCCCTTTCTCCTACCAGGGGCAACTTGATCTCAAACCTGCTTCTAAGCTATACAACCAGGTGGGAGCCCTAGGCTCAAGTAGCTCTGAGCTCAGGGTTCTCTCCCGGGACAGCATGCCAAACCTGCTACTAATTTCAAGCCATAGCTAAGTGTGAACTCTTGTAAGGCGATATTTAAAAAAAAAATGCTGGTCATTTTTGCTACTGGAAGTCAATGAGTGCCAGCAAATATGTTTTTTGTGTTCAACAGAAAAAAAGAATTTCATATTCATTTAAAACACGTTTTGGGTGAACTATCCCTTTAACATTAGTGGAACCTTGTAGTTATATAAAGTTTTTGTACAATAAAAAATGTAATTGTTCATTAAATGATTATGATCCTTTGGAAAGCTGTAAACATATTTTAATGAACGTTAAAAACGTTTAAGTGTGGGATTTTTTCTTCCTAATAATCTATAAATACATTATGACAAAACTAATTACAAAACTACTTTGCATTATAGCAGCTCGGTCATAATTTATTACTCCTCAAAACACATTTTAACAAATCGTCTCAAGCTGAAACACTTAAAAAGCGTTCAAAAACATCTGAAAGTGTAATTTCCGTACTAACTGTCAAGATTTTGCAATCATTAACACAGAGTGGGCGACTCACGCGCCGCTCTCCACACGGATAGAGCGGATGTTGTCAAACCCACGCTCCTGGATGTTGCGGCACTCAGAGGTGAGCTCCTGACACTTGCCTTGGAAATGCTCCTGCTCGAACACGGTCACCTGAAAACACACACACACACACACACACACACGTGCACGTGCACATGCCACGGTTTCATTCTCTAATTTGGAGAAAGTTGAAATCTGAAATCTCTCTCCTACACAATCCTCTGCTGTCCTCTGTCTTATAAATAATACACAATTCTTTTGGTAAATGAGCAGCAGAAACTATCCAGAGCATTCATCTACACACAACTGTCTCAAAATCTACTGCAGCAGAAGCCTTTGTTCAATTATTGATAGCTAGGTGCCTTGTTTCTTACTCTCAGACAAAGAATCAATAGCTTGTTTCTTACTTTTTTATTTTTGCGTCTCAAAAGAGAGAAAGAGAGAGAGAGAGCGGTCAGAGTTTCTTACCTTAAAGCAAGGAGCCATGTCAATGCCGGATGCTGATGGGTTTGTTTGGATGGCAGTAACTCTGTTCATCTTTTTTTCTGCACAGAAGGAAAGACTTGAAAACTTCTTCAAATGCATTTCACTATCAGTCGAACTATAGTTAAGTTGAGTGCTGTTATGGTGTGTGACGTACGTTTGGGCAGATGCACAGTCCTAAAGCACAGCTGAGCTAAAGTATTCATCATTTCTGTAATGTATACTGCTACGGCAATGCTTTCAATGCTTTTGTAGACTATCACTCTGTAGTTTTTCATACAAGAATTGGCATTGCTTCATTTAACAACTGGCAAAAGTGATGTTTGTTGGCCTTCGGTGATGTGCTTCAAATTCCGGAAGTACTTTAGTTTGCAGTGCAAGATGTTGAGACGTGCTTTGGAATAAATTTGAAGAACACAAGAGTTATTTTGAATTACATGAGAGAGATGTTGCAGAAGTCTGTCTGTCTGAGTAACTTTTGAGTTACTTTTTCATACCTATCTAAGGCTTTATCTCTTTTAAAACTTGCAGTGTTTCTTTTTTTTTTTAATAGAGGAGCTCTATGAGTATACCGACAAGAAAATGAATGAATGAATGAATGAAGTATATTATCTTTCAATTTTTAAATCTGTTTAGTGACTAAAATATTATTTTAATAAATATATATTTTTATAAATCTGTTTTGTTTACAATGAACAAAAATTCATTGCTTATATTCATTAAGAACTTGATAAAATATTCATTTTCAAAAAGGGGTAGTCAATTATACTTAGCATTGTATATATGTATATATAGGTATATGTATATAAAAATCTCTTCGTTAAACAGAAGTTGGGAAAAGAATTAACAGGGGGCTAATAATTCTGACCTTAACTATATGTATGTATGTATGTATGGATGGATGGATGCATGTATGGATGTATATATAAAGTATGTATGTATGTATATATAAATGAATATATATATATATAAATAAACAATTATTAGCCCCCTGTTAATTCTTTCCCCAACTTCTTTTTAACAAAGAGATTTTTTAAACACATTTCTAATCATAATAGTTTCAATAACTCATTTCTAATAACTGACATTAAATAATATTTTACTAGATTTTTTAAGAATCTTCTTTACAGCTTAAAGTGACATTTAAAGGCTTAACTAGGTTAATTAGGCTAGCTAGGCAGGTAAGGGTAATTAGGCAAGTTATTGTAAAATGATGGTTTGTTCTGTAGACAGAATAGCTTAAAGGGGCTAATAATTTTGACCTCAAAATGCTTTTTTGAGCAAATTGTCTTGCTCTGTTCAACATAATTTGAGAAACATTTAAAAAAAAAGAAAAAAAAACATCATCATTAGTCATCATTAGTATCTTAAATATAAGATCATTAGTTACTTATACATTTTGAGTTATTACATCGCTGTGAGTTCTGTTAACTTAAACACAGTGAGCCCAAACAACTATATAGCTACTCAAATGGTTCGGTATTGCTTCTAGCATTAGAGCTAAGTGAACACAAAGAATATAATTCATTAACAATTTCTCATTTTATTTGAGTTCTGCTTAACAAAATAGTTTTATGAGTTACCATAACTCTTTGTCGTTGAGTCAAAGTAACTTGTTAAAAATATATGTTAAACTAACTTATTTCATTTAGTGATTTTCACTGTTAGATTTTAGTATATAAATATATAGTTTTGTAAATTGTCAATTTCAAATATAAAGGTCACAGGAAAAGCGTCGAGAGAAGCCTTTTATAATGAAATGTTCTTTAGAGAACCATTTTTAAGTGTGGAGGACATTTAAACAAATCTAAAGCTTTTCCCAATATAATGAACTTTTTGTGGAATAGAATTGATAAGGTTTCAACCATCCAAGACTATGAAGAACTTTTCATTTTTAAGAGTGCATCTGACTGAAGAACATGGTCATATTTATATTGATTAATACATTTAAATAATTTAATTAATCTAAATTACTTTTTTTTTTTCAAAATTAAATAAATCTAAATAATTAGCCTTTCCTTATCTTACCTGAATGTCCACTTGTCCTACTTTACAGTGATGCCCTTCGTCAGTCCCGTTTGTCCAGAAGTTTTATGTTTATTTGGCGCTTCTGTTTTATAGCGACAATCACAGCTGGTTGCGCGTCGTGGAGCTGAAACTGATGGAATGGCCTTGTGAGGGTGTATGTGTGTGTGTGTGTGTGTGTTTGGGTATGTTTGTGAGATCATTCTCTTCATTGTGAGTCCAGAGTAGCTGAGCATTTTGCTCAGTCAGCTCATTGGATTTGATGGAGCCGCGAGCGAGTGTGTGCGTGTGAATGCAGACGCGTTGAGCTGCACAATGAATGGCTGTATTCCTATCGGTCAGCACTGTGCATCGTATGGTACACAATGAGCGGCCTATAGGTGGAGAATACAGGGATTTGACCCACTGCATACAGTGGACGTCCTCTCTTTCAACATCCCAGAAACATGTCTGTGGTTTGTCTGCTCTTTTAAGGTTTGGACAGCAGCCATGACAGATGTAACACAACGTGTGCGAGGAAACAATGGGAACCAAAGTTTTAATGTGCATTTTTTTTACTTTGTTGATGTACAATGATTACATTTGGTCACTTTTTATGTTTTAAATGAATATTTTTGTTGGTCTCGCAGTTTAGAGATGGTTAGTGTGATTTTAACAAGTAGGACATGTAAATGGTGGTTCCTTTTTATTAATATTTTATACATGGAACTTTGCCTGTGTTATGGCACCTTGCTGCAATTTTAGTTTCCCTAAATGGGATAGTAAAGTTGAGACTGAGTCTGATTATCTGCATAATATTAAGATATTAACTATTTATAAGCAGTTATAAAGTATGATCCTATTCTGCATGCCTAATCCTACCCAAAACCAAACCGACTTCTGCCTTACTAACTATTAATAAACCGCTAATTATTACTTTATTAAGCTAGTAGTGTCAGTTTAGGTTTGCTAATATCGTGATTGGGACCTAAACTAAAGTGTGACCATACTTAAGTGTTACGATATTACCTTTATGAAATAAAGTTTTGAATTAAAAACTGTAACCTATTGTCATTTATTAGGTAAATAACGAATTGAGCAGCACTTCCAAATTTTCTCAGTCAGATTTTGGCCATTTGAATATTAAACAATTAAAATATAAAAATAGTATTAATAATGTAGAGCTTGACGATTTTTCCAGCCTCTCTTGTAAAAAGTAAATCCATCAAAATTCGTGGATAACAAGAAATAGCCTAATTAGTTTTACAATTTGGTCATTTTTGTTCTTTCAAGAATAAGTTCCAAGATTTAGAATAAAAGTTCCTTGTAAATAAGGAAAGCGAAAGCGAAAAGTTGACTTCACTTTCATCAGATTAAGCTTTTGATGGGTTATTTTCCCAAATTATGATGTCTTAGCAGTCAAAATAAGACAAATGAGCTAAAGTTTGGGACTAATTCTAGAACTTTGTTGGGGAGATCTACTCTTTCAAACTACCCCTGGCAATGAGCCTCGTTTAACATCCATGCTGATCCTGTAGCAACATTTATAGACAGCCAGTCACAATTAAGGGATAAGTTTAGAGTTTTTATTAAGATTATAGTTTCCCAGGGATGGGTTGCGGCTGGAAGAGCATCCGCTGCATAAAAACGTGCTGGATAAGTTGGCGGTATTTATTCCGCTGTGTCGACCCCGGACTAAGCCGACAAAAAAAATGAATGAATGAATGAATGAAGTTTATAGGCTTACATTTAGGGTTATATGCTTCTAAATTATTGTTATCCAACTATTTTTGCCCTGATTTTGGGATTATTTTAGGGTTAGGTTTACCCTAGCTTAGGTTTAAATCACACGCCTACAATTGCTTGTCTATATCTGCACAAAAAAACAACAGGTTATTTTAACCCAGTTTTGGGTGTAATAGGAACTAACCTATCTCCTGGGTTATTTTTTTAATTCAATTATTAAGCCAGAATTTAACCCATTGTTTAGGTTAGTCCATATTTTCAATAGTATCTGGATGCAACCTTTTATGATGCAAGCTGAGATTGCATCACTCAGCGATGCAATGTCAGACACAATGCACTCAAATGGAGCAAGTGACGTCACGATGAGGGGTAGGGTTATGGGTGGGGTTAGGTGATCCCATTAAAAAGCATTAGATGCAGCTCAGATTGCACTGCACCAGGTCTGCATCCAGACCCCTTTCCATATTTTACTTAATTTGAGCTTAAATAACCCCGCATTTTTAAAAATGTGTACTATGTAACCATTAAAATCTTTCATAAATATGACATATTTTTTTTATCTTTAAGACAGGAATACATTTTTTATGTAATAGCACATCTATTTTGTTATAATTATGGACATTTATTTATTTTTTATATACTGCCATCATCAACATGGCTGCTTCGCAATTTATTTAACCCAAGATGATGTTAGTGAGAGTGTTTGTGTACTATTTACTGCATAGTCTTGTAATAGAAGGCATAATAAAATTAAGAACTTTACAATGTTGCATAATTCATAAAGATGTATTGAAAATTAGTTAATTTATACACAATATATATATTTATATCTTTTATTGTTGTCAATAACAACCTTAATATGTATTTTAGGTAACATATTCTGACTTTTGTTTTACTTTTAGATATTAAATTTTTACTTTTTACTCTTTTGGTTTTAAAATTAAGAAGTGTGCATGGATCAGAAATGATTTTACCAGACATTTACGCTAAATTACTGTCATCTTTTGGTGGAATCATTTACTTTCCAGCACTAATGATGGTTATGCTTTAGGGACAGCTCCTTAACCCCCTTTGAATATTTAAAAAAAATATTTCCCAAATGATGTTTAACGGAAAGGAAAATTTCACAGTTTGTCTGATAATATTTTTCTTCAGGAAAAAGTCTTATTTATTTTATTTCAGGTAGAATAAAAGCACTTTTAATTTTATTTAATTTTATTATAATTTTTTTCAAACATTTTAAGGTCAAAATTATTAGCCCCTTCAAGCTATAACATGTTGAAAAAAATCTTCTCTCCACAAACATAATTATAATTATATTATAAGATGCAGTAAATAGTTCACTAACACTCTCACCAACATCATCTTAAGTCAAATAAAGTGAGACGCAGCCATGTTGATGATGGCAGTATATAAAAAAAAATAAATGTCCATAATTATAACAAAATAGATGTGCTATTACATAAAAACATAATTCCTGTCTTAAAGATTTGAGAAACAATGTCATATTTATGTCAAATTTTAATGGTTTCATAGTAAACACAAGCAATCACTGAAGGCGGTGTGATTTTAAACCAATCCCTACACTGTAAAAGCCAACAGTCAACTTTATTAAATAAAATGAGTGTAGTTAACTCAAAATTGACTGAAAGTTAATTCCGCTCATTTGAAAAGAGTTTTGAACTCAGTGTTGAAGGTAATGAGTAAATTAAACACCTCACCTCAGCACTTCTACTTAAATGGCGTAAGTTCACAGTACTCGTATAGATTTGTTTTTTTAACTCAAATTGTTTGTAGCAATCAGTTTTCTCAAGCAGTTTGAGTTAACTTATTGGGTTTTACAGTACTCAGTTGATTTGAGTTCTCTTCATTTATCAGGTTTTACTGTGCTCAAATTGTTTTGTTTCCGCAAATGGATTAAGTTCACAGCACTCATTAAGATTCGTTTTTGAACTTAAATAGTTTGTTGCAATCGGTTGCCTCAAACGGTAACGGATTTTACAGTGTAGGTAAAGCTAACCCTAAATTATTCACAAAATCAGGTCAATAATAGTTGGATAACAATAATTTAGAAGCACACAATGCTAACTGTAAGCCTATGAACTTAATATAAACTCTAACCTTGTGCCTTAAATGTGACTGATAGAAATGTTGCTCCAGGATCAACATAGATGTTAAACTAGGCTCGTAGCCAGGGGTGGTTTGAAAGACTAGATCCCACCAACAAAGGTCAAGACTTTGTCCCAAACTTGAGCTCATTTGTTTTATTTTTACTGCTAAGACATCATCATTTGGAAAAATAACCCATCAAAAGCTGAATCTGACGTAAGTGAAGTCAACTTTCGCTACTGTATTGTTGTTAAGTAGAGAAAACATTTTATTTAGAACTTTTATTCTAAGTCTTTGACCTAATCCTTAAAAGATTTGAAAAATGTAAATACTAATAAGGGTATTTGTTGGTATCCATGAATTTTCAAATGTACTTTTTACAAAAGAGACTAGAAAACTCGTGTGAGATACGGCCTGGATGGCATTGCCATTTTGAAGGTGTAATAACGCCTATTCACCTTCTATCTACATATTTTGTGACTGGGTGTCAAAGTTTGCATTTTTACGCAAGGGATATGCTTCTATAAACTATTTTAAATATACATTTCTTTAAGCCAACAGTAATGCTCACCCATGAAAATGAAGTTTTAATTGGTGTGCTTTTGCTGCCATAAACTCCCGCAGTTGGCAAGACGGTTGCCAGAGTTTTAACACAACATATGGGCTGCATAAGCAGGTTAGTGTACTTTGTAAATTAAACAAATAAAAACTTTTATTGGCAGCTTTCATTTTATGAAACATATAAATTAGGAATAAGTTTGGAAATGTGCCACATTTTCTATTTGGTTGATCAGGGTTTGGCTTTGATGCTCCATTACACTGACAAACGTGATTTAATTCTGTCGGTTTTACAGTAAGTGCCAGGGAAACAGGCTAATGTGCTTTCAACATGAGACAAACTCATGATGAGCTGCTGGCAGCAAATGCATTAGGCTCTTACCAAAAACATCTAATAGAAGAGTGGCATATATTTCAGCCTTCAGTACATAAATGAACATGCACATAATCATGTTAATTTTGCAGTTTGTCATTTTATAATGTTGTAAAGTTTTAAAACCGGTCATTTGTATATATATTAAAATAACTTCTTAGGTTTTAAAACTAAGTATAGTGTCCTCTGTCTCTTTCTCTGTGTCTGTGTGTTTGATGATGGGGTGATTTCTTTTCTGTGTGTGGGTTGGTGAGCTCAGCGAGTTTGTTTCTGTGGGCCTAATCCCCCCATGGTGGGCGCCAGCCTATAAAAGGGACACATGTTTGCTTTCAATACACACGCTGACACGCTGATTGAGACAGACAGCGGCTACTGACTAACACACAGGTAAGAGACTGGGGGTCTGTGAGCAAAAACTAACCCACATTTCATCGATCTGGTTGCATAGACTATAGATGAAAAAAACAACAACAACAATATGGGTTGTGTAAGAAAATCTCTTAACAGCTTTGACATTAGTCATCAAATAGAAAGCAATTAAAATGGAATCCTTTTATTTATGATCAAGATTACTGTAACCTTTTAGTCATGATGGTAAAAAAAGAAAGAAACTGATGTTAATATAAAGAGTAAGAGGGATAGAAAGATATGAGTTTATTAAATATAAAAACACAGAAGCTATTGATGTGAGCATTTATCGGAAAACAGTTACGTTTTGGGCTCATTTATCATCTTACACTGCAAAAAATGCTTTTATTTGTCTAGTTTTAGTCTTTTTTTAGACAAGAAAAAAATATTGTTTTCAAAAAATAAGTACACTGTAAAACCCAAAAAGTTAAGGTAACTCAAACCATTTGAGTAAACCGATTGCAACAAAGCATTTAAGTTCAAAAACTAATCTTAATGAGTACTGTGGACTTAATCCATTTGAGTAAACAATGCACTTTGAGCACAGTAAAGTAGTACCCGATAAATAAAGAGAACTCAGACCAACTGAGTTCTGTAAAACCCAATAGGTTAAGGCAACTTAAACCGTTTGAGGAGACTGATTGCTACAAACCATTTGAGTTAAAAAATAATCTATATGAGTACTGTGAGCTTAATCCATTCAAGTTAATGAGGTATTCTCATTACCTTCAATACTGAGTTCAAAACTTTTTTTAAGTGAGTAAAATTAACTTTCAGTAAACTTTGAGTTAACTACACTCATTTCATTTGATAAAGTTGCACTGAAAAAAGTGTTGCATGCAGAACTGTTGCAAACAATTTATTTGTGTTGAATTTAAACACAGAAATGAAGGTTAATAATGTTCAACTTAATCTGTTTGTTTAAATTCAGCCCACATAAATTGTTTACAACAATTTAACGTAAAAATTGAGTAAATCCAAGGAATAATCTTTGAATATTTTTTTTCAGTGTGACTGTTGGGTTTTACAGTGTATGTTTCAAACCTTAAGTAGGTTAAACCAAAGTTTTTCTTTTCTTTTTTTAATAATCTCCCAATGACTTTGTTAGTAGGATAATCTTGCTTTAGTTTGGAAAAGGGATTATTTGACTTACTCTATTGGCTGATTATTCAGCTTGTTTTATGAAAATATTTTTTGCTCATCTAGAAGCTGCTTTTTAATTTAAGTCTTTTTATATATTTAGACTAAAAGCAAGAAAGAAAGAAAACTCAGAAGAAAAATATTTGAATTGATATTTGAGTTTAGATGCAAAAGCCTCTGCATTTTGTTTTTAAATTAGCATTTTTTTCAGGATACTGTGTTTATGACCAGTTATTTTACTTTTATGGTAATGAATCGGTCGTTTTCAGTGCCTTTAAATAGAAATAACTGAACAAAAACATAGAGGCTGAGAAAAATGTTCACTTTAGAAGAAAATTTGATGGTGCATAGAGGCTTTTGCATCTTTAACTCTTCATTTTGAGACCCAATATACAGGTGAAGCCAGAATTATTAGCCTCCTTGAATTATTAGCCCCCCTCAATATTTTTTTCAACACATTTCTAAACATAATAGTTTTAATAACTCATTTCTAATAACTGATGTATTTTATCTTTGCCATAATAACAGAATATATTATTTGACCAGATATTTTTCAAGATACTAGTAATTAGTTTAAAGTGGCATTTAAATGCTTAACTAATTAGGTTAACTAGGCAGGATAGGGTAATTAGGCTAGTTATTTTATAACGATGGTTTGTTCTGAAGACTATCGAAAAAATATAGATTAAAGGGGATAATAATTTTTACCTTAAAATGATTTCTAAAAAATTTATAACTGCTTTTATTCCATCCGAAATAAGACTTTCTCCAGAAGAAAAAATATTATCAGACATACTGTGAAAATTTCCTTGCTCTGCTAAACATCGTTAGGGAAATATTTAAAAAGAAAACATTCAAAGGGGGGCTAAAAATATCGCCTTCAACTGTATAAACCCAAATATTTTTGGTAGAAGGCGTCATAGTTAAATCAAGCAAAATTATGCCAGTTTTCCTCAGATACTTTAGAGGTCCCATATGTTTCCCCCTAATGGACCACTTTGTCATTTATGTGTAAATTAGTCATCACATAATAAGCATTTCACATCTAATCGCTATTGTACAAGTGTTTCGCCAAGTAAGTGTGGGTGAAGAATTCATCCATGGGCTATAAATATACTCAATGATTTGTGAAAATGGGACTCAATAACTGCTTTGAGCAATATTTAGTTCTTGACATCACTTCATGTGCAACAATAGATATTTCCAGCAAGGAGGCTGCTGATTATTCACGTTTCTCCAACTCATGCGTATGCTCTCCTTTTTTTGTAGTCATCATGTCCACTGGTGGAGAGAAGTCCAAGCCTGCCTCCCAGCCTGATGGGAAGGCTGCTCAGACCCAGAAGAAAACCGAGATGGGCATGGGAAACTACAAGGTAGAGTATTTACAGATGCATAAAGTTAAAGATAAGCATGTCAGTAACCATAGAAATAGATGTGGGTGTTGTGTTCGTGCAGTATTTTTAAGCTAAGCTAAACTATAAACTGACCCCTTTAATTAATAGTAGCTTCTCTGCTCTTTCAGATGTACGTGTTTGATCAGGAGAACTTCCAGGGCCGCATGATTGAGATCTCCAACGAGTGCATGAACGTGTGTGAAATGGGCATGGATAGAGTGCGTTCCCTCCGCGTGGAGTGCGGCCCGTGAGTATTCAGATCGTACTTACCAATGAGCGATGTACCAATTGTTCTGCGTTTCAACACATTCTTCATTTATTTAGTTGGGTTGGCTGGGAGCAGATGAACTTCTGTGGAGAGATGTACATCCTGGAGAAGGGTGAATATCCCCGCTGGGACTGCTGGAGCAACTGCCACAGAAACGACTATCTGCTGTCCTTCAGACCTATCAGAATGGTATTCATCTCATATATTCAGAATACACAGTTCTGGGATTCTTTTAAAGGGGTCATGAAGTGAGAAACCAATATTCCCTTGATCATTACATATATTTGAGCTCATAATATTATAAAAACGTCCTGTAAGTTTCAGAACTCAACACTTTATGGTTCCTCTAAAATCAGCTCATAATGAAGGCAGTCTGACAAAACAACAGGTTCTGGAATGTTCTACTTTATGATGTAATAGCTTGGAAAAGCTCCGCCTCTGCAGAAAATCCTTGCTTATTTCTATCTCACTGCCTGTTTTGTTGTGCAAAACTGTTTCAATCAGAGCAGTGGGCGTTTTCTTATCAGTCTACAATGGGCCACGCCCATTCACACAGTGCATTCTAATGAAGGAGTCAAAAACAGCACACAAAATAGTCCATAACTTCTATATTATGATGTTTTTTGATGTCAAATTTTGATAACATTTTAAGTAGACTTATAGAGAAAAAAGTAATAATATCAGGTTGGATCATTGGGTCAAATTGAAACCCAGCCTATCCCCTATATATAGAAGTGTTAAAACTAATTTATAAAAACATTTGCATGAATGAATTCAGTGTGATGAATCTGGTTCCTAAGATTTCCTAAGTTTCCTACACTCAAAAAATGATGCTTGCTGTTTGTTCATACAACTTATTTATAATGAGCTGAAAAAGCACAATTCGATTGTGGGGAGCCTATCAATTTTTACAATGTATCTCATGATAACTAAATTCATAAAAATGTCAAAAAGATAAACTAAAAATGAAAACTGAAATGTCAATGATAAGTAATGCAAGTCTTCCAATATCTTTGAACTCTCCTTCCATCATATATCACTTACTATATTCATGAAAGTGGCTAAAAGATCAATAAAAACCTACAACAGAAAATCTAATTTTTTTTTAGTATACCTGAATTCCCTCTTGCTTCGCTTCTCACAGGACCCAGAAAAGCATAAGATCTGTCTGTACGAAGTTGGCGATTTCAAGGGCCGCAAGATGGAGATTATCGATGATGACGTGCCCAGCATGTACACCTTCGGCTTCACCGACCGTGTTGGCAGCATCATGGTCAGCTGTGGCACGTAAGTAATATCACACCCAAGAAAACAGAGTGCAAGTAGACTATGATATCTGAGCGTAAAAATAGATTCGACTAGAGAGGGATACTAAGTGTGTGATCTATTAGTCATACACTCCGACCCACTGAGCTGAATGCAGAATTGTGTCCCTAAACACTATCTTCTATGCAGTTTAAAGTTAGAAAAATTTGCTTGTTTTTGGTCCGACAAATTTGACCTCACAGGACAATGTAGTTATTTTATGAGGTGGAGATTTTGTAGGAATTCATTTAACGTAGCAGTTATTGGACCACAAACTGATCAAAAACATACAAATATAAATGCATGGATTGGTGAGAAATTAGCCAGCAATCTGGCAACATTTTAAACTGATATGAATTTACGAAAGGTAAAATAGTTTTCCTGACATTGTGATTAATCTGTTTGTCCACCTTATAGCCTGTTTGAAAATAGTCATTACATTTGATCTAATTCCTATTACAGTCACTCCAAGCATATTCACCAAATTATTGTTAGCTTTATCTTGCATTGACAAGCAATATCCACAGTAACGTTGTACTAGTAACTAATTTTGCCACACAGTAACTAACATTGGCACAACTATGCCAATTAATGTACATTACAACATGCAATAAAACTAATAGTATTGTAATGATAAAATGTGGGGCAATTTTAACCCAATTTTAGGTCAAATATGAACAAAGACAATTATTTAGTAAAACAATTGTTGAATAAATAAACCCATGTTGGTTTTGTCCATATTTGACAAAAATAAAAACAATACAACCAAGCATTTTTTATTATTTATTATTATTTTGTTAAAGAAATAAACCCACCAGTTGTATAACTATAAATAAGCAGCTAATTAGTAATTTATTGAGTTAATAGTCTTATTTAATGGTTTATTAATAGCCTCAGTGGTACACTAAAAATGACAATATTATAATGATAAAAATGTGGGTCTGTTTTAACCCAATTTTTGGTCAGATTTGGACAATAACCATTATTGGGTTAAAATGTAGTTAAATAAATCAACCCACCAGCTGTATTACTTTTATTAAGCAGCCCTATAGTAGTTGTACAATAACATGCAGGAAATCTAACAAAATTGTAATAATAAAGATGTGGGGCAGTTTTAACCCAATTTAGGCTCAAATATGGACAAAGACAATTATTTTGTACAATAAATTAATAAATAAATAAAAATACTGAATAAATAAACCCACAAAACAACAACAATACAATTCATCATTATTGATTGAGTTCTGATTTGATATACTCTAAAATACAGATCAAATCTATTATTAACTCAATTATTTTGTTAAATAAATCAACCCACCAGTTGTATAACTATATTTAAGCAGTTAATTAGTAGTTTGAGTAATTAGTTTTAGTTAAGGGTTTATGAATAGCCTCAATTGTACATTAAATTATGCTGGAAAATTAACAATATTATAATCATTAAAATTTGGGGGTTAAAATGGACAAAGACCATTATTGGGTAAAAATATAGTCGAATAAATAAACCAACCAGTTGTATCACTATTAATAAGCAGCTAATGAGTAGTTTTTCAGTTAATAGTCTTAGTTATTGGCTTGCTAATAGCATGAATTGTACATTACAATACTCAGAAACACTAACAATATTATAATAATAAATATGTCTGCAGTTTTAACCTGATTTTGGCTCAAATATGGACTAAAAGCTGCATTTTTAAAATAAATTTCGTTGAAAAAATAAACCTACATTGGTTTTATCCATATATAACAAGAAAATTATAAATAAAAATACAACCCAGCCTTTTGTTTAGTTTCTGATTTGATCTATACTGAAAAACAGATAAAATCTGTTATTAATTCTATTATTTTGTCAAATAAATAAACTCACCAGTTGTATAACTATTATTAAGCAGCTAATAAGTAGTTTATTGAGATAATAGTCTTAGTTAATTGTTTGTTAATAGCCTCAATTATACATTAAAAAAAACTATAAATATTGTAATTATAAAAAAGTGTGGCAGATTTAACCCGATTTTGGGTCAAATATGGACAAAAAACATTATTGGGTTAAAAAATGTAGTAGTTGAATAAATAAACCAACCTGTTGTGCATGTATTAATAAGCAGCTAATTAGTAGTTTATTGAGTTAATAGAGTAAGTTAATAGTTTGTTAATAGCACAACTTGTGCATTACAATATTCAGAAAAAACTAACAATATTATAATTATAAAAATGTGGGGCAGTTTTAGCCCAATTTTGGGTCAAATATGGACAAAAACCATTATTGGGTTATTAATATAGTTGAATAAATAACCCTCCCTAAGATAAAATCTAATATTAATGATATTGTGAAAAATAAATGAAGAGTCTCTTCTCTGTACCTGTTTTATTTATCATTCTCTGTTTCTCTCACCTTTTGCCACAGTTGGGTGGGCTACCAGTATCCTGGTTACCGTGGCAGCCAGTACCTGCTGGAGAAGGGCGACTATCGTCACTTTAACGAGTACGGCGCTCGCCATCCCCAGTTCCAGTCCGTCAGGCGCATCCGGGACATGCAGTGGCACCCAGACGGCTGCTACACCATGGCCACCAAGTGAGGGCTGGGGAGGACGAGAAAGAGAGGGAACAGGGGAGAGAGAAAGAGAGGAGGGGGAGAAGATGAAGCAGGGGGAGGGGGGAGGGCCAAGAAGGAGAGGAGGGGCGCACCGCCCGTATGAGTCATCCTGGACCAGAAACGGATGAAGGTCAGTCTGGTGCGGGCAGCGTGTATATCAGATGACTGTATGGCTTTTTCTTTCCCACCTCTTTATTTTCTCTCTCTCTAACTCTTCACCTTTTCTCCCATCTTTTTCTTTCTTCCCTCTTCCTCCTCTTCCTCATCCTCCATGCACTTTTCCCCTGAGGAAATCAGTCCATCACAATGAGCCTTAACTGATGGCTGACTCGTCTGGGTCAGGGATGATTGATTGATTGATTGACAGGGGTGGGTTGGGGACCGGGCTGTGGGTGGCAGAGGAACGGGTGTTTTTGGCCAATAGGCCGTGTAAAACCTCCACATCCTTTTTGAACGGTAATAAAAGCGACTCTTGTGACCACTGTTATCCCCGCTGTCTATCTGTGTCCATGTACGCATTCACCACACACTGTGAATATATCAGGTTTCTCTAATCAAAACATTTCAAAGCTAGATTTTCTTTCAATCAAAGCAAAAGCACAATGTCAAAAGCAAACATTAATCATTTGTTATACTGCAACTTAGTGAAACCAAGATGCTAAACTGCAGAACAAGTAGATGCAAGATGCAAGCACATTCTGAGCACACTGATATAACAAAATTGGCCATAGTGTATGTGTGTTAATGTAAAAGTGCATGGGTGTTTCCCAGTACTGGGTTGCAGCTGGAAGGGCATCCGCTGTGTAAAACATGCTGGATAAGTTGGCGGTTCATTACGCTGTCACGACCCCTGATAAATATGAACTAAGCCAAAGCAAAAAAAATGAAGATCGGTTTTGACCATATTTGGAATAGTCATGAATAATAATGAGCTCTGCTCTGATGCTCTGCAGCTGGTGTCAGTACCTGCTGTTACACACACAGTGTGGTGTACTCTGAAATACACACATGCAAAATAATCATGCTTCATTTGACACAAAATATATTAATAAATTAAGAAGATGGGTTTGTTGCAAACAGACACGGTAAATTTCACAATATAAACGTGAATCTAAAACATGATATGATTAAACAGACCTTATCATACCTCTTCAGGGTGATGCTGAATACTTTTATTATCCACATATCCCACATTTTGCATTCTGACGAGCTGTAAACATGTTTATGAATGGATGCCTGCTTCACGAACCTGATTACTATTCCTTAAAGGGCCATGAAACCCCCCTGTTTCAGCATACAGAATACACGCTAAGATCTCATGGCCGTGACTCAGCTTCAAAAATTAGTTTCAAACCGGAAGTATGAATTTGCTCGAAATAACGCAAAAACATCCAATTTTCACTTTTGTGAAATATATGTGTTGTAATAGTGTTTTTAGCATCATGGGACACATATACAACTGTCAACAGCTCAAAAAATGTGTTTTGGTGTTTTGTGACCCTTTAAAGCCTGTCCTGTTTTCAAAATAAAAGTCTCACATACATAGTACATTTAATACAATCTTAGATCAACTTAAAATGAAGTGAAACGTGCATATTAACGGTGACCACTGTTATCCCAGCTGTGTATCTGTGTCCATGTGTGCATTCACCACACACTGTGAATATATCAGGTTTCTCTAATTAAAACATTTCAAAGCTAGATTTTCTTTCAATCAAAACATAAGCACAATATCAAAAGCAAACATTAATCATTTGTTATACTGCAACTTAGTGAAACCAAGATGCTAAACTGCAGAACAAGTAGATGCAAGCACAGTCTGAGCACTGATCTGAGCACACTGATACAACAATGATGCCTAATTATGTTCAGGATGCTGCCATTGTGCAGACTAAAGATAATAATACATTATCAGACAATATTTCATTTTCTCAAGCATTGTGTTAATGTAATGGAAAAATAAAAATTTGATAGAATATTATTGACTATTAATATAATATGAGAACTCTTGAAAACTCTTTTCATATATCCATTTTTGAAATTGTATGCCTGATGATAATAGATAGACTAAAATGGTTAATTACATTTGATTATACGAGAGCACACACACACACACACACAAAACATAATTTAAATGTGCCATGAAATGAAAATCTTGATATTATTAATCATAGGTGAATGAAAATGGCCTCAAAATGAGCCTCTAGCATCATTATATCCTCATTTTCATGTAAATCCCATAAATCCATAAAATCACAGTGAACAGAAGGCCAATCAGCAAAACACAGAATGTAACGATCCATACCAGATCATTAACATACACGTTCCACTTAATTTTAGGTTGATCTAAGATTTTATTAAATTAACTATTTATGAGACTCTTTTTTTGAAAACAGGACAGGCTTTAAGGAAGAGTAATCAGTAATCAGTAATTCAGTGAAGCAGGCAGCCATTCATAAACACGTTTACAGCTCATCAGAATGCAATATGTGGATAATAAATGTATTCAGCATCACCCCGAAGAGGTATGATAAGGTCCGTATAATGTTTTAGACTTTTGTGTATATTATGAAATTTGTCGTGTATGTTTGCAACAAACACATCTTCTCAATTTATTAATATATTTTTTGTCAAATGAAGCATGCTTATTTTGCACGTGTGTATTTTTGAGTACACCACACTGTGTGTAGCTGCGTCCCAAATCGCATACTTATGCACTATTCTACGCCATTTTGTAGTATAAATAGTGTAAGTAGTGCATTCACACTGGAAACTCTAAAAATAGTACGTGCACTTTATTTACCCGGATGATGCACTCATTCAGCCGCTAAAATGAAGTGTGTAATGATGGACGCTTCACGCACTTAACGACCGCAGGTTTGCTCACGTAGTGGAAGGGGTGGAGGTATCGGGCGCACATGTTGGATAACTTTATTCATTTTTCGATGGTGAAAGCAAAATTCTCCTACGAGAGTAATTATAGCGCCTCCCGATGGTAAATGCAGTTAAACTCATGGCAGGTATTATTTGATAGTTTGGTCATTTATTTCACTGATTTGATAACAGTCAAACGTCATCAGTAAAACGGGTTTAATTTCCGCTCAGTAAAAAAACATTAGTGCTCCATTTGGGACAACACTACATACATGTACTATGCTGTTGAGTGTTTAAGTGAATGAGTGTATAGTGTGCTATGCTATTTGAGACGCAGCTTGTGTGACAGCAGGTACTGACACCAGCGGCAGAGCATCAGAGCAGAGCTCATTATTATTCATGACTATTCCAAATATGGTCAAAAGCGATCTTCATTTTATTTTTCTTCAGCTTCGTCCCTTTATTTATCAGGGGTCGCCTCAGCGGGATGAACCACCAACTTATCCAGCACATGTTTTACACAGCGTATGCCCTTCCAACTGCAACTCAGTACAAGGAAACACTAATGCACTCTTACATTCACATTCGTACACAATCGTACGCCGATTTTGTTAACCCAATTCACCTATAGAGCATGGCTTTGGACTGTGGGGGAAAGCGGAGGAAACCGAAACACCTGAAGGAAACCCACGCGAACACGGGGGGAACATACAAACTCCATACAGAAATGCCAACTGACCCAGCCGGGGCTCAAACCAGTGACCTTCTTCCCGTGAGGTGACAGTGCTAACCACTGAGACTCTGTGCTGCCCATTATATCTTTATTCTCATGTACAGTAAATCCCATGAATCACAAAAAATCACAGTGAACAAAAGGTCAATCAAAACAAAAGAATCTGACAATCCATACCAAATCATTATTGTGCACATGCCAGGCTACGTTTGATTGGACACAATTTTTCCCAGTGAATTTAAAATAAGGATATTTATTTCCTTAATTGTAAGTTGATCTAAGATTGTATTAAACATACTATGTATGTGGGACTCTTATTTTGAAAACAGGACAGGCCTTAAGGAAGAGTAATCAGTCTCTTGCAGGCAGGCAGCCTTTCATAAACACGTTTACAAATTGTCAGAATGCAAAATGTGGGATATGTGGATAATAAATGTATTCAGCATCAACCAGAAGAGGCATAATAAGGTCTGTTTTACTGTATCATGTTTTAGATTCACGTGTATATTGTGAAATTTGCCATGTCTGTTTGTAATGAGGCAACAAATACATCTTCTCAATTTATTAATATATTTTTTTGTCAAATGAAATATGATTATTTTGCACCTGTTTTCATCCAGCTATTTTTATTCGCATGTTGGATGTGCGCTTAAAATGCACATCCATTTTGAAAATGAGCATTGAAAATGTACGCGTACAACTGAGGAGGATAAATGTTTTATTTGATGAGAAAAGATGTGCATAAACTACGATGGAAACCCTTTTACCAAACAAATTTAAAAAAAAATTAAAATAAAAAGTCATGTGATTTTGCTATAAGTGAACGATTGATGACTAATAATAAAAATGTGTGTGAATGGATAAACCAGGAGGATGACCACACTGTTAAACATCTGAATTGTTAATTTGGTCATTCTAAAACGCCATTAACCATTTCAGTATTGGTGTTACTATATTATTAATGACCTTAATGAGCATTTATCTCATTAATGAGCATTTATTTCACGCCTTCAAATGGCACTGCGCATTCACAGCGTGTCTGCATTGTCTTCTGAGGTGCAAGTCATTTATTAAATGAAGAAAGATTCACGTAGCTTTTCTTACCACAGCAAATTCCATTTTTTACTTTTGATATTTGGCGCCAGTGAATCAGGAAGTGATGATTTTGTTCTTTTTGACTCGTTGCATGGAAACGGTGCTTTATTCGCACATCTTTTATGCCAGTGATTCTCAAACTGTGGTACGTGTACCACTAGTGGTACGCAGGCTTCCTTCTACATTTTTACATATAAGCGTTAACGTTTAGACTATTTATAATGTTTAAAATGGCTGACAATAATAAATATTCTTAATAATAGGAATTAATCTGCCACGTTTTAGAACTGTGCAGAGCTGTAGCTACTTTACTGGGCTTACTACGCCACTGTATTTCAATACTGCTCATTATGGTGACAAAAGCTAAGTAACAAAGCTACTGACATGAGCTGCAGAGCCTCAGAGCAGTACTTATTAATATTCATGACCATTCCAAATATGGTCAAAATCTTCATAAATGAGCATATAAAACTATTTTGTACTTACCTAGCCACATAGTCTGTTTAGATATCAGAGAACAATTTAATATATTGAATCAATGACACCTCTAAATGGAAAATGTGATTATAACCGATTAACTAAATTAATTATCCAATGATCCCGTTAAACAGTTTAAATTCAGCAGTAGGATTAATCCTTTAAAATGAGGATTCTCGGTCAGCTGTCAGGCCTGAATAATCTAATATTGCGCTATAATTACACAAGCTGATTATTAGCATTTTTAATGCAGCGCTGTGTGTGTGGACTGAATAAAAATAAGAGTTTATTTTGTCTGCATCTAAATT